AAAGAGTTAAAGTCTAAGCTTCCCAAAAACCCTTTACCTTATTTTATTGAATCCTTGAGTCATCAAATGACTTTGTGATAATTCATCTTAAGGGATTCCAAGTTCTTTCATTATTTTCAAAAGAATGATATTGACGACAAATCCATCATATTTTAGGATCCTATTGATCTTTTACTCATGAACATATCCACCAATAAATAGTGGTCAATTGTGACAAGTAAATCCTAATAATAAATCTTCATAAAAAAATCAATCTTTGTAGCATAACAATGACTAACTTCAAATGTTATATTGTCAATGTTCTCATCAACATGGTAACAAATCATGTAAACCAAATTTTCTCTTCTAAATTGATTTGGCATGTATTCATTCAAAATGATTAGCTTTCTTAACTTTTTTAGTTTCAAGTTTTCATGCCTGGATGGAACTGCTTTTATTTGTATCACCTTTGGCGTTGGCCTCTTGAGTGGTTACTTGACCATCATCACTCAAATAGGCTTTTGTAGATTTTTCTTTTGACCTCTTTGACATGTAACTACTATCCAACCATTATTATCTTAATCTTCAGTTTGAGGATAAGCATTGTTGTGCTTGAAGCTAGTATGATATGGTTAAAAAAATTAAATTTGATGGTTATACCCGACAGTAGTAAGATGGGGTCAAAAGAACCAAATTTGATAGTTTGACCCAAAAAGTTGGATTGAAAAGTCGTATATATTAATGCCAAGTTTGATGTCACAACTTTTTCTTTAAATTCAATTTTTCAATCATTGTGAAGTTGCATGATTTTATCTTTTAAAACAAAGCATTTCTTTAATGGATGACTAATCAAGCTATGAAACTTACAGTAATTGGGGTCATTCACTTTATCAACTTTTTCAGGTCACTTTATTTTCTATAACTAGATCAGCTTGGAATTTAAAAGTACATCCAATATGCTTAAAACATCTAAATCAGAGAAAAGATACTCTTTCTCTTGTTTTTTTTATCAATGAGATTCTATTTTTACCTTTGTCTTGAGAAAGAGTTGATCTTGCTTCTTGAAATTTTTTTTAACTTAAAGGCTATTTTCATAGACTTTGTATTCATAGTCAGTCATGGATTGCTTGCTTTCTTCCTTATTAGTGAAAGTTTTGCCCCCTTTATAAGTATCTTGCTTTTCCTTGCCTTTCTTTGACTTTTGCATAAAAGGTTATTAGTTTCTAATAGCTGCCATACTTAGTTCCATATCATGCATGGGTAGCCAGTTCTTTAAAAGTCATATGCTTGATACCTTAGACAATATAGCATAATCTCCAATTCATGCCTTGTATGCACATATCGAGAGTAGCGAACTCAAGGCTTAAGTTTCTCCATCTATGAATATAATCAATCATAGGTTCATCTTTCCATTAGCATGAACTTTTGAGCTCCATCGTGCCAACTATGCGACGAGTGCTATAAAATCAATTAAAAAATTCACGCTAAAGTTGTTCCCAACTATCGGTTATGCCAGGCTTAAGATCAGTATACCAATTAAAGGCATTACCTTTCAAAGAGTGGACAAATTGCTTCACAGAAAAACTCCATCAGTGCCAACATTATTGCAAGTTTCCATAAAGTGGGCAATATGTTGGTGTGGATTTCTTTTACCATCAAATTGTTGTAATTTTGGAGGCTGGTAAATTCTCAAGCATCCTCAAACGATCAATCCTTCAAGAATATGGCTTAGCATATGAGTATGAAAGCTGAGTGACACTCTCAACTTGGTCTTGATTACTTTTTTTGATAAGATATTTAAGTTGTTAAGAGTGATAACTTCATTAAGATTTTGTTGAAAATCCTTAGCAACTTCCACTTTGGAATTCTCACTATACTCTTAAAAGATTGAATTAAGATTTTGGTCTGAAGACACTGGTCACTTTCCAATGAGATCGTTAATCCTCTTCAATCATGACAACAATCTGGTTATATTTTTTCTATACTACTTGTTGCAAGATAATTTTTGAAAGAAGCGCAACTTGTTCTTTTAATGATGTGGTGCCAATTGTCATGACATTCATTACTCTAGATTTTGTTTTTGAATGGGATGATGAAGTTAAGCTACTGCTTGCACTTGATCCATGAGGCGAAGTAGGCTTTTTAGTATAAGATTTTTCTAATCCTTTTATCATAAAGTGGGTTTTGACTTAGCATTGAAAAAGTTTGAGCTTAAATTTCTTCAAGATTTTTGTCTTGCTTTTAGTGTTATAGGGGTGAATAGCAACATCAGTGTTTGGTGATAAGCTAAAAAAGATTGCAGGATTTGCTTAAGCAAGAATTCTTTTTGGGAGCGGCTTAAACACTTAAACTTTGAAAAGAAAAAAGCAATGAATGATAGATATTGTCCTACTGAAAGTGCACGAAATTTGTACACAAATTTTGTGTCGAAAACATAACAAAGAAAATTAAAGACAAATAATAAATTTATTTATTAAACTTGTAGAAATTACAATCTCTAGGAATTCTTATTATAAAGAAAATCCCCTAATTCTTTTCTTCAATAAAAATTCACTTCAAGGTCAAGCAGACTTGTTCTTGAATTCTTCAAAGATCATTGAGACTTGTTCTTGAATGCTTTAAGGGTCTTGTTGACTTCATCTTGAACAAACATAATTGATCTCTTTTCTTTATAGAGAATAAGATCAAAGAGCACTATCTTGACAATTCTTGAAACTCAAATGCTTTTTTCTTCGAGTTCTTCAAAATTTCTTCAATTCTTCGTAGCTTGCTTCTTAAGATTTTGAAGTAGCTTTGGATCTTCAAAATCTTTTTTTTCTCTTCAAAACTGTCAATTATGAATTATGAATAGGGGAAACACTGTATTTATAATGCTAGCCTATTAGATAAGAGAGAGAGTTTCAAGGGAACTCAACCTTTTTATTTTATTTTTAAATTGATATAGTTAAATTAGAGAAAAATGTCGATAACTCATTAATGAAATCTGATTGGTCAAATCATGTGTTTTTTCTTCAATTAACAGGTGACATTTAATTAATCATAAAATTAATTAATTAATTATATGATAGAATTAAATCCACATGGCGATAACTAATTTATCACATGAAAACTCTTTAATTAATTAATTTTAAAAAATTTCCTAGACATATGAGATTGAATAAAAAATTTTCACCCTTTACGATCCTTACCAGTTAATCATTTTGGTTTTCATGGTTTAAATAATGATTGATTCTCCTCATAAAGTAAAGAATTAACTAGAGAATTGAGCATGAACAAGTTGATTCTCCTCGGTCCTCATAAAAGGAAAGAAATAAATAAACAATTGAGCATGAACAAGTTGCGTTTGTCTTATGCTGTCCATTTAGCTACAAGTCATGGGTAAACCTTGAATTGAGCATTTGGGTGGATTGTCCGTATGTGAGTCCATATGGGAATGTTGGGTTTTTGTCCACTCTAAGAGTGGGCGGGTGGGGACGGGAGTGCCAACCCGTAAGCCGTAGCGTTCGGCACCAGAGAATGCGAGGCTGCTAGTGAGAATGCCTAGTGGAAGGATTTGATGAGGGATATGGTCCGGTTGACAAGCCTAATATAAACAGTACTGAGATACAAAGCCCAAAATAATAATTTGAGTCCAAGAGTGCGCGTCTTTGAAACATTTTCCCCCACTTTTATTTTTTTCCCCTTTTTCATAAACAGTAGTTTATTCCTTCTCTTCACACGTTTTCGTTTAGTACATTTTAGTTTGCGTGTTTTAGATTGTTGCTTCTGAAATTAGAATTCATACATTGTAAATAGCTAATTGAAAAATCCATTTATAAACACTCATAATATCTATGAGTCTTTTTGTTGAAAACTGATTGATAACAACTCAAAATTTACTTCTAATCCAAAAGTGTTTTAAAAGGATGATCAAGCATTCTTAATAACAACGGGCATATAGAAATTATTGCAGTAATGAGCAGAATAAACAAGATATACTTTGAAAAAAGCATTTTGTTGTTGAGCTGTTTTATTAGGAATAATGTGAGCAATTTTAAGTACTCGAAGTTTTATAATGAAACAAGTTTTCAAGAAAATACTCCAATTTCTTTGGGTGAAGTTACAGAGGTTTTAATGAAATTACAAACACTATTATACAACAAATAAATTAATCAATAAATTCATCATATAATTAAATAAAGTTAATATAAAATTAAATCAAATTTACAAACTATAAGGCTTAAATTTGAGATTTTAAAATTCAAAAACCTCCTAACTATTGATATTTTTTTCATTAGACATCTCTTTGTAAATGGTATCTAACAATTTGATGTACAATATTATTTTGTAGTAGGTTGATTCCCTTCTAAGTTCTAACCACTGATATCGTAAACAAGACCTGATTGACAAGTCTTGATCTAACATTTACTATTTAGTTAACCAAGTTATTCTTAATCTCTTATTAAGCTATACTTAAAGTTATTATTATTACTTCTTCAAACAAGTCGGGGAGTCTTGTCTTAGCACTTAGATGCTAGAATTCTTTTTCCATGAATTACTGGACCGATAGAAAGATTTAAGTACCTCAACTTGATCAGAAAAAAGTTGATAGACACGTTCAAAGTCCGAGGCTTCAGCGCGCGGTTGGTTTCTTTTATTATGAAATCAAATGAATAATGTTGATGGGGCTATCTCTATCCTATAGAGGCAAACCAGGTGCAAGCGAGCGTGACTTTGTCATTAATAAGGGCGGAGTAGTTGAGAGAGTCTAATACAGCTTAAGTCATTTCCAGAAAACACTACTATTTTTGTTTGTTTTCGCTAAGGTTAGCTTGTAAAATCTCAAAAGAATGAAAATTAACCACAGAATTCCCAATTGATTCAAGGTTTGCCATGTATACTGTGGTTGTTGGATGAATGAGAAGACCTAGCAGCAAAGACTACTCTACTAATTGTTCAAGATATATGTTTAACAAAATTGACAAATGAGAGGAATTGACTCGACTTTGCGTGTATAAGTTTGGGGGAAAACAATCACTTTTGCATTTATAGTTTGGGCGAAACTGGGTGTTGACAGAAATTAAGGAATTCAACTGTGTGGAAGTGCCTGTGGGCAGTAGTGCCACTGGTAATCGGGTGATTTAAGGAAACTTTTTGAATATTTATTAATATCCTGGTCTTGGGCATATGCGTTGCTGATTCCCATATAGTTTAGCTCTTTATCACATTTATGTATTTTGACTTGTTAATTTAAATCCGTCAGTAAGTCAGCATCATATTTCTCCATGGTTTGTGGTTTGTCTTTTTAGGAATTAGTTCATAGCTTTTTCCTCGGTCAATTTGGACTTCCTTCATCCATCTGGTTTATGCACGGCCGGCCTTTTTCTAATTAATCATCGTCTGCAGGGCTGAATAAAAAATTTAATTAACCCTACGCCAAATCTTCCATGTTTAACAGAAACGGAATCTTGGTGGCATAAGTTTGAAAAAATTACCTGCACTCCCCGGGACTTTCCTCTAATTTTAAGGTGACTAAACTTTCTGCCCCCTTCATACAAATAAATAAATCAATAAAACTCGAACATGCTGGGTCTTCTTGAACTCTATATAAGAGACCCTCTGCTTGGTATTGTGGAGTCACAATTTCCAGACAACACACAATAAACAATCGCAACAATGGCCAACAAAACACCAGCCATACCTATTCTCCTCTCCCTACTTGTCCTAGCCCTTATTGATGTCTCTAAAGCCGGTGGGATTGCCGTGTATTGGGGTCAAAACGGCTATGAGACTACCTTGGACTAAACATGTGAGACTGGACTGTACCAGTACGTCAACATCGCCTTCCTCAACAAATTTGGCAGTGGCCGGATTCCGGCACTCAACCTTGATGGCCATTGCAACCCAAAATACGGTGGTTGCAAAGACGTTAGTATAGCCATAAGAAACTGCCAAAAGCGTGGGATCAAGGTGATGCTCTCCATTGGTGGCGGAAGTGGCCAGTACTCTCTGGCTTCTAAAGCCGACGCCAAGAATGTAGCCGATTATTTATACAACAATTTCTTGGGTGGAACATCACTTTACAGGCCATTAGGCAATGCTGTCTTGGATGGCATAGATTTCAACATAGAGCTTGGCTCCACAAAATATTGGGATGATCTTGCCCGCTACCTAGCTGCATATAGCAAGCCAGGAAGAAAGGTTTACCTATCGGCTGCCCCTCAATGTCCATTCCCTGATAGATACTTGGGGGCTGCCCTTAATACGGGACTTTTTGATTATGTTTGGGTTCAGTTCTATAACAATGCACCTTGTCAATATAGTCCAGGTAACACTAGGAACCTTTTAAATTCATGGTATAGGTGGACTGCATCCATTAAGGCGGGGAAGATATTTTTAGGGTTACCAGCAACCAAGGCAGCAGCATCAACAGGGACTGGTTACATTCCACCCTGGGAGCTAACTTCTAAAGTCCTTCCGCAGATCAAGAAATCACCCAAATATGGAGGTGTCATGCTTTGGAATAGGTACTTTGATAAAATCAGTGGTTATAGCACCGTCATTAAGAACGATGTGTAATAAAATCATGAAAGTATGATTGCGAAGCAACATTGCTTGGCCTAGTAGCTTAAGCAAGCCTCTAGACTAAACTAAAAGTCGGGGCAAATGGTGTTCAATGTGCTCAATAAGTTGCTTCTGCTTTTTCTTTTTTCGTTTTTTTCCCCTTTTGTCATTTGTATTATTGTGTCCAAGCAACGATTGTAATAAGATGGCAGTATCACCCGTGACAACAAAAATAGGAGATATGGCGTGGAGCTGACGTTTTTAGGTTTTAGCCCTCCTTTAATAAAAAAATTAAAAATGTTCAGTCGGCCTTAAACAGTTAGACCTTCTTCAACCCAAAAGCTAATAGGAATATGACAACCTGACAAGCTAATTAATAACGGGCCAATACTGGATCGAACTGAGCTTATCATGATAAAACCCATATAAGACTCACCCTTTTTTTGAGAAGGTGATTTTTCAAGTTTAAACCAGTTTGATTAAAACACAAATAAATCATCATGACAAGAGCTTACTATTAATTATAGTTTGATTTCACTGGAAAAATCGCCTACATGGATTATGTATGGATGTTTGACGATTCCATCAAACCACACTGTGTTGCTGGCCAGCCGAACACATGAAAATATAGGCAGATGATCACATTCCTTTTGACAAGAAAGAAGCTCAAGCTCAATTTATCAGCCTCATATTTCGTACTGAGACAATTTTGAATACAAAATCAGAATCGTCTAAACTATGCCCACTCACCAAGACTTGACTGCTTTCTTGTTGAGGGGCAAAACTAAAAGAACCACGAAAAGAAAAATATACCAGGAAATCTCAAGCAAAAAAAAAAAAAAAACCCAGAATTATAAGGCATGCAGGCATAGATACGAGGCAATGCTAAAAAAAGGTCCTATCAATCACATGATGTGAGAGAAGCTCCCAAGCCTAATCTGAATACTCTTCTCTGTTACCGTGGAACTATAAATAGCATGAAGAAGATAACTCAGTCATATGGGCTCTGCGTCTTCCTTCAGCTGCTACACTTTTCGGACCTGAATATTATGAGTGGACTGGAATCGCCAGATGGGCTGTCTGCCACTCTGAACAAGAGCCACCTCTTCTCCCTCCTTCACCTTTCTTTGCTTCTGCACGTCAACCATAGAATTCACCATGTAACAAGCACACAGTTGTTCTAGCACACCATACCAATAATCCATCTTTTTTGCAAGAAAACAGTGGAAGAAAAGCAACAAACAGCACCAAGGAGCAGTATGATCAAATGTACCAGACTCCACAGACATTACTACCAATATTTTAAATATTATTCATGATAACGACATACGACAATTGTACAATTTTGATGCCCTCACACTAAAATCCCTAGTATGGAAAGCTAGAAAAATTACAGAATTCCCCCTATTTGCCTTTCTTGCAGCCTTAAGAAAATGACCGTTTAGTGAGGAAAGGAGAATGGTGGCTGTAGGATGGTTTGGCAGGGTAGGATGGCTGACCAGGAGTAGGATGGTTGGCATGGTTAGGGTGGCTGAGCAGGTTTAAGTTTTAAGGGTATTTTAATAATTTTATTTTTAAAAAATAATTTTATAATTTTTTATATTTAAAATCAAATCCAAAATTAAAATTCAAATCAACTTTATAGCACAAGAAAATATCGAATTTTAGATCATGTAAATAAAATGATTATTAGAGTAAAATTAAGCGATATTAATTTAGTGTATTGACCGCTAAAATTAGGTTTATGCAAAACAGAAAATTAAATTTGTTCAGATAAAATTAGATTTCAATACCCTAAAAGAAAAATATCCATGAAAACATTTAGTAGAAACCCAAAGCATTGAAGGGAAGAAGTCGGCTCGTGGTCAAATTTCTTTTTCCCTCAAGCATTGCCATTGTTTTGTCTGCTTCACAGTTGTTTTTTTCTTTCTTGTAAGTCACGGGCATGGAGATACTGTTTATTACATACGTTTGTTGGTTTAAGAAGACTCTGTTTCTATATTAGACTGAGTGGCATTTTAAGTCTATAAATATGAAGGCCGTTAGCACATTTGGAAGCACATCTTCAGCAAAAATGGCGAGAGAATCTCTAAACAAACGAACACTTTTCTTTTTTTTATTAGTCTTAGTGTTACGAGTCGAGATTTAAGTTTTAAATTCGTGCGGTTTTGGGACTCTAGCATTCACCCATCCGACGTTCCGGATCAGCCTAACTGCCATGATTCACACTATCTCTTTCTTGTGAGGTGCCTTTTGTAGGACAAAACCGTGATATCAAGGAGCCAGAGTTGATAATACCTAATTCGAAGCTTAAGTCTCGACCCGTGACAAATGGTATCAAAGTCAGCCCTAAACCGTTCGATCCACGTCAAGCATCTTGAAGGAGGTAGTCAGGGTGATTAACCTCCGTGACGAGGGTGTCATGAGATTAGGTGCGGAAGAATGTCACGGACCTAAGGAGGAATCCTGAATCCCACATCGAACATAATAAGAGGGTCATTGGGGTATAAAAGGGTTCACACCATCTCTGTCTTATGAGGCACCTTTTGTAGGATAAAACCGTAAGGCCAGGGGATCAAAGCGGATAATACCTCACAAAGGTGTGAACCGTGGTAGGTAGATTGATCTAAGACATCGGATAAGTGGATGCCCAGGTCTCGAAGCCGCGTTGGGTTCGGAAGCTTAAGTCTCAACCCGTCGACAAGTGGTATCAGAGGCCAACGCCTAAACCGTTCGATTCACGCCGAGCACCTCGAGGGAGGTAGGCAGGGTGGCCAACCTCCGTGACGAGGGTATCATAAGGTTGGGTGGGGAAGAATGTCATGGACCTAAGAAAGAGTCATGAATCCCACATCAAACATAATAGGAGGGTCACTGGGGTATAAAAGGGTTCATACCACCTCTTCCTTGTGAGGTGCCTTTTGTAGGGTAAAATCGTGAGGTCAAGGGGGCCAAAATGGATAATACCTCACAAGGGTGTGAACCGTAGCGGTTAGGCTAATCTGAGATGCCAGAAGGGTGAATGCCCGGGTCCCGGAGCCGCGCGGGTTCGGAGCTTAAGTCTCGACCCATGACAAGTGGTATCAGAACCAGCCTTAAACCGTTCGATCCTCGCCAAACGCCTCGAGGGAGGTAGGTAGGGTGACTAGCCTCCGTGACAAGGGCGTCACGAGGTTGGATGGAGGAGAATGTCACAGACCTAAGGAAGAGTCTTGAATCTCACATCAAACATAATAGGAGGGTCACTGAGGTATAAAAGGGTTCACACCACCTCAACCTTGTGAGGCGCCTTTTGTAGGACAAAACTGTGCGTAGGTTCGGAGGTTAAGTCTCGACCCGTGACAAGTGGTATCAGAGCCAACCTTAAACCGTTCGACCCACGTCAAGCACCTCGAGGGAAGTAGGCAGGGTGACCAGCCTCCATAACGAGGACGTCACGAGGTTAGGTGGGAGAGAATGTCACAAACCTAAGGAAGAGTCATGAATCCCACATCGAACATAATAGGAGGGTCATTAGGGTATAAAAGGGTTTACACCACCTCAACCTTGTGAGCCGCCTTTTGTAGGATAAAACCGTGAGGTCAGGAGAGCCAGATCGGACAATACCTTATAAGGGTGTGAACTGTGACGGCTAGACTGATCTGAGATACCGAAAGGATGAATGCTCGGTCCAGTCACGGCATTCCAAGTCTGGATCCGTGCATTACGAATTGAACTTCCATACGTTATCGATCTACTGGGCAGAATGACGATAGCACTGACCGCAGCCTGTGCTACAAATTGCCTATGTTAACATAGCTCTTGACAATTGTGCAATGGCGCACCTGAAATACCGGCTGCCAGAATCCAGACCCAATGGTTGCGCTTCAGCAACGAATAAGAAGCTGCCAAAGCCAAGGAATCAAAGTCATGCTCTCTATTGGAGGCGGCGTTGGAAGCTACTCTCTGGCCTCTCAAGCAGAACCAAAAATGTAGCCGATTATCTATGGAACAATTTCTTGGGTGGTAAATCGTCTTCCCGTCCATTAGGCAACGCTATATTGGACGGCATTGATTTTGATATAGAGCTTGGCTCAACTCAATATTGGGATGATCTTGTTCGTTATCTATCACCTTACAGCAACCAGGGAAGAAAGGTGTATTTAACAGCAGCTCCTCAATGTCCATTTCCTGACAGATTTCTGGGGACTGCCCTTGATACAGGCCTCCTTGACTATGTTTGGGTTCAGTTTTATAACAACCCACCATGCCAATACTCTTCAGGCAACACCAACAACCTTATCAACTCATGGAATCGGTGGACTTCATCCATAAAAGCAGGGAAGATATTTCTGGGATTACCCGCAGCACCAGCAGCGGCTGGAAGTGGGTATATTCCGCCGCAAGTGTTAACTTCTCAAATACTTCCGGTGATTAAGAGGTCACCTAAGTATGGAGGTGTTGCGCTTTGGTCTAGGTTCTTTGATACTGATGGTACTAATGGCTACAGTGCCTCTATTGTGAGTAGTGTCTGAGCAAGTCCTACATGGTGTACTCTCTTTTAAGACCTAGACATTAAATCTTGCTTGGTCTTCTATGAAAAATAAAATATAATAAATTTGAGAGATATCCTTATCAGTTAATCATTTTGGTTTCCATGGTTTAAGTAACGATTGATTCTCCTCATAAAAGTAAAGAAATAACTAAAGAATTGAGCATGAACAAGTTGCCTTTGTCTTACGCTGTCCATTTAGCTGCAAGTGAAGTCATAGGTAACCACCTTTTTTTTTTTAACGAAAGTCATAGGTAAACCTTGAATTGAGCAAGTCGGCTGGATTGTCCAAATGTGAACGTTGGGTTTTCGTCCATTCTTAGAGTGGGCCGGTGGGGATGGGAGTGTCGACCCTTAGGCCGTAGCCTTCGGCACTGGATAATGGGAGGCTGCGCGTGACAGTGCGCTAATGGAAGGATTTGTTTGACGAGGGATGTGGTCCAGTTGACAAGTCTAATGTAAACAGTACTGAGATACAAAGCCCAAAGTATGATAATTTTGGTCCAAGAGTGCGCCTCTTCGAAACATTCTCTTTATAGTCCCCCCCCCCACTATAGTTTTTATTTTTCCTTTTTTTTTATATATATAAACAGTAAACGTTTTCGCTTAGTACATTTTAGTTTGCGAGTTTTAGATTATTGCTTCTGAAATTAGAATTCATAAATTGTAAATAGTTAATTGAAAATCTCATTTATAAACACCCATTTTAGATATGAGTATTTTTGTTGAAAACTGATTAATAACAACTCAAAATTTACTTCTAATCCAAAATTGTTTTAGAAGGATGAAAAGGCATCCTCAATAATAACGGGTATATAGAAATTATTGTAGTAATATAACATCTGGTTTCAGAAGATGGAATGTCCTTTTATTCAGAACTGATTGAATTATTACAAGCGGGATAAATAAAATATTCTTATTAGAAATAATGAAAGCTTTAATTAACTAAGTTATTCTTAATCTCTTATTAAGCTATACTTAAAGTTATTATTACTTCTTCAAACAATATTTGGGGGAGTCTTGTCTAGAATTCTTTTTCCACTAATTATTACTAAACTGGTAGAAAGATTGAAGTATCTCAACTTATCAGAAAAAAGTTGATAGACATGTTCAAAGTCCGAGGCTTCAGCGCGCGGTTGGTTTCTTTTATTATGAAATCAAATGAATAATGTTGATGGGTCTATCTCTATCCTACAGAGGCAAACCGGGTGCAAGCGAGCGAGACTTTGTGATTAATAAGGGCGGAGTAGTTGAGAGAGTCTAATACGGCTCAAGTTATTTCCAGAAAACACTGCTATATTTGTCTGTTTTCACTAAGGCTAGCTTGTAAAATCCCAAATGAATGAAAATTAACGGCAGAATCCCCAATTAATTCAAGGTTTGCCATGTATACTGTGGTTGTTGGATGAATGAGAAGACCTAGTAGCAAAGACTACTCTACTAATTGTTCAAGATATATGTTTAACAAAATTGACAAATGAGAGGAATTGACACGACTTTGCATGCATATGTTTGGGGGAAAACAATCACTTTTGCATTTATAGTTTGGGCGAAACTGGGTGTTGACAGAAATTAAGGAATTCAACTGTGTGGAAGTGCCTGCGGGCAGTAGTGCCGCTGTTAATGGGGCGATTTAAGGAGACATTTTGAATCTTTGTTAATATCCTGGTCTTGAGCATGTGCGTGGTCGATTCCCATATAGTTTAGCTCTTTATCACATTTATGTATTTTGACTTGTTAATTTAAATCCGTCAGTAAGGCAGTATCTTATTTCTCCATAGCTTTTTACTCTGTCAATTTTTGACTTGGTCAATCTGGTATTGACGAATACCATATTCACTGTCTGCAGGAGCTGAATAAAAAAATTTAAGTAAACCCTAAACCAAATCTTCCAAGTTTACCCAGAAATAGAATGGTGGCATCAGTATTGCAGGACTTTCCTCAAATTTTAAGGTGACTAAACTCTCTGCCTACTTCATCCAAAAAAATAAATCAATAAAACTCGAACCTGCTGGTTCCTCTTGAACTCTATATAAGAGACCTTCTGCTTGATATTGTGGAATCACAATTAACAGACAACACACAATAAACAATCGCAACAATGGCCAATAAAACACCAGTCATGCCCATTCTCCTCTCCCTGTCTAGTCCTTATTGATGTCTCTCAAGCCGGTGGGATTGCCGTGTATTGGGGTCAAAACGGCTACGAGATTTAAGAATATAATCGATTAAATTTAAATCGATATAATATTAAGTTTAAGTTTAAATTCTATTAAAAATTTGAAATTTGATTTAAATTGAATTGAATTTTATTTTGTTTTAATTTAAACTTGATTTGAAATAAAAATTAAATTACTTGAATTTATTTTATTAATATATAAAAATAATATTAAAAATTTAAAACTCGATTTAAATTGAATTGAATTTTATTTTGTTTTAATTTGAACTTGACTTGAAATAAAAATTAAATTACTTGAATTTATTCTATTAATATATAAAAATAAATTTAATTTTTATATTCGATTAAAATTCGATTATTTTGACTCAAGTTTAAATTTAAAATTTAAATATTGTATTAATTAAAATATAAAAGTTAAGCTCGATAGTTATTCTTATTAAATATAAAAATATTTAAATTCAATTCGATCTATAAATTAAATTTAATTTAATTTGATAATAATTAAATTTAATTTAATTTTTATTTGAGTTAAATTTAAATAATTTATTACTACTAATATATTATTTTAGAAAGAGAGACTGGACTACATCAGTCCTCAACATTGCTGGCTGTGTCCGGATCCCTGAACTTAACCTTGATGGCCATTGCAACCCAAAAAACGGCGGTTGCAAAGATGTTCGTATAGCCATAAGAAACTGCCAAAAGCGTGGGATCAAGGTGATACTCTCCATTGGTGGCGGAAGTGGCCAGTACTCTCTGGCTTCTAAAGCCGACGCCAAGAATGTAGCCTATTACTTATACGACAATTTCTTGGGTAGAACATCACTTAACAGGCCATTAGGCAATGCTGTCTTGGATGGCATAGATTTCACCATAGAGCTTGGCTCCACAAAATATTGGGATGATCTTGCCCGCTACCTAGCTGCATATAGCAAGCCAGGAAGAAAGGTTTACCTATGGGCTGCCCCTCAATGTCCATTCCCTGATAGATACTTGGGGGCTGCCCTTAATACGGGACTTTTTGATTATGTTTGGGTTCAGTTCTATAACAATGCACCTTGTCAATATAGTCCAGGTAACACTAGGAACCTTTTAAATTCATGGTATCGGTGGACTACATCCATTGAGGCGGGGAAGATATTTTTAGGGTTACCAGCAACCAAGGCAGCAGCATCAACAGGGACTGGATACATTCCACCCTGGGAGCTAACTTCTAAAATCCTTCCGCAGTTCAAGAAATCACCCAAGTATGGAGGTGACATGCTTTGGAATAGGTACTTCGATAAAATCAGTGGTTATAGCACCGTCATTACGAACAGTGTGTAATAAAACCATGAAAGTATGATTGCAAAGCAACATTGCCTGGCTTAGTAGCTTAAGCAAGCCCCTAGACTAAACTAAAAGTTGGGGCAAATGGTGTTAGGTGTGCTAAATAAGTTGCTTCAGATTTTTTTTTTTTTGGTTTTTTTCCCCTTTTGTCGTTTGTATTGTTGTGTCCAAGCTACTATTGGAATAAAATGGGCAGTATTGCCCGTGACAACAAAAACAGGAGATAAGGCATGGAGCTGACGTCTTTAGGTTTAGCACTCCTTTTTTCAAAATAAAAAAATGTACGGTTGGCCTTAAACAGTACGTCCTTCTTCATCCTAAAAGTGAATAGGAATATGACAACCTGGCAACCTAATTAATAACGGACCAGGACTGGATCGAACTGAGCTTATCTATAAGACTTTCACTCTTTTTGAGCAAAGTGATTTTCCAAGTTTGAACCGGTTTGATTAAAACACAAATAAATCATCATGACAAGAGCTTACTATTAATTATAGTTTGATTTCACTGGAAAAATCGCCTACATGGATATGTATGGATGTTTGACGATTCCATCAAACTACACTGTGTTGCTGGTAAGCCGAACACATGAAAATATAGGCAGATCATCACATTCCTTTTGACAAGAAAGAAGCTCAAATCGTCTAAACTATCCCCACTCACCAAGACTTGACTGCTTTCTTGTAGAGGGGGGAAACTAAAAGAACCACGAAAAGATAAATATACCAGGAAATCTCAAGCAAAAAAAAAAAAAAACCTAGAATAATAGGCAATGCTAAAAAAAGGTCCTATCAATCACATGATGTGAGAGAAGCTCCCAAGCCTACCCTGAATACTCTTCTCTGTTACCGTGGAACTATAAATTGCATGAAGAAGATAACTCAGTCATATGGGCTTTGCGTCTTTCTTCAGATACTACACTTTGCGGACCTGAATATTATGAGTGGACTGGAATCGCCAGATGGGCTGTCTGCCACTCTGAACAAGAGCCACATCTTCTCCCTCCTTCACCATTCCTCGCTTCTGCACATCAACCATAGAATTCAACATGAAACAAGCACACAGTAGTTCTAGCACGCTATACCAATAATCAATCTTTTTTGCAAGAAAAAGTGGAACAAAAGCAACAAACAGAACAAGGTGCAGTATGATCAAATGTACCAGACTCCACAGACATAACTAATAGTATTCTGAATATTACTCATGATAATGACATACGAGAATTGCACATATGTAGATGCACTCACAGTAAAAGTCATTAACTATCTGAACACCCTTTATGTAAGCATTTCAAAATTGGGTATCATGGAAAATCCCTAGTACGGAAAGCAAGAAAAATACCAATTACAACATATGAGCAGAAAACTATGTTGAAGGTCAATATCAGTCCAACTCAAAAATGGATCCAACCTGGGTCGAAGTTTTGAACCCAAAAGCCCCAAGATTCAACGCACCCCCTATCAAAATAATACATAAAGGTTTTGAAATATTTACACGTTTTAATCAACTCCACTGGATACCTCTGAACAACCACTCGAACCTTGGTCCAAAATAACTGTGAACCAACTGATTCAGGAACAACTACATCTATAATTACCAGCCTATTGAAGGGAATTTTCATAATGAATTCTCAGGTAAAACCTTACCTGCAGCAAAGCTAAAGCATTCTTAAAGGTTTCCTCGGCATCATCTGAGAACTCCATGTATATGGAACATACTCCTTGATACAAAGCTAATCTTTGTTGTATCCTTTTCCTGCATGGCCATTAAGTCATTGTCAGTCAAACTTTCAAGATCATTAAGCCCAGTAATGGTAGATACTCATTTTCAGCCATAAACTACTGGCCAAATATTGCACTTCTGAGTTCATTGATATTGCCATTGCACTACCTTTTGGAATTAATATTTCTTCATCAAGCCAAACCTCAAATGGGGTAGACCATTATTATGCCATAGTACAAGATGGATCAGACAGAAAGCTAAAACCCCAGCTCTCAACCCTCAGTGCCCTTACCCATCAAAAGAAAAGGAGAAAGAAACAAATGGGAGGAGGCTTTAACTGAGATTAAACAACAGCAACCATACAGTAACAAATTTGATATTCAGCAACAGGTGAAACTCACTCGTTTGTGAAGGCAAAAATAGTGCCAGAAGGACGATAATGGCTAAGTAGTATAGCCATGAAACCAGTTCTAGTGAAGACAACAGTGGAGATTCCAAGAGTATTTGACATCATAGTTGCATGATATGCAAACATCTCACTCATGTGGTTCTACAGAGAAGAAGTATCTGCAGTCAATATTGATAGTTAACAAAGAAAAATAAGTAAAGCATATGGAAACTGGAAAGTGCATGTAGCATGTAAAGTGACCTTAAAAGCTTGACCAAGATTAAGGGGCATTGCACCACCAGATACGGTTGCTTCAGTTCGTAGTGCAACTGTATGCATCACTTTAACAGCTTTCAAAGGAAACCTGCAAGAAAGTCAAATCTATTTACTAGAGTGCACTTAGGTAGAGTAGCAAAGGTAAAGCAAGATGGCAGATACGACATTTTAATTTTATGTCCCATGGAAGTTTGGTAAGTTGATTTTTAGTACAAGTCATGCCCATATTCTTCTAGCTTCACCAACTAGGATCCAAGAACATCCATATAAACCTTCCAGCTTACCTCAAGGTAAGTTACTAAATTAAACAATTATTCCAATATAGATAATTATTTATTAGCATAAGACAAAATCAAATCATTACCTACTTTTAATAGAAAAATTAACAAGGGGTGGATTGCCTTAAAAGAAAGGAAAAGTGTGAAGAGGAATACGTTAAAATAAATTTCTAAAATGCCAACGTAAGTAACTTACTTTCCATGAGCTGTTTCTCCAGAAAGCATGACAGCATCAGCACCCTCCCGAACAGCAATGGCAATGTCAGATACCTCTGCTCTTGTTGGTGTTGGATGAACAATCATGCTTTCAAGCATATTGGTTGCCACAATAACAGCTTTCCCCATGCTTCGACATATTCTAATTATCTCTTCCTACGTTTTAAACCAAGTAGAGCTCTGAGAGGCTAAATAAACAAAATTTCATTGCTTTACTGGTAAAGAAAATATGTTTGATAAATTCATCTATATCCAGTTTTTAATGTTCATTCAAAAACTAAACCAACCTGCAAAAGAGGAACCTCCTCAATAGGAAGCTCAGCACCGAGATCTCCTCTTGCAACCATCGCCTAAAATAAAATAACATGCATTACTTTCTACATAGCACATATATGGCAGAAGTGGCAATAACCAGATTTTACTTTCATATCACATTATCTACCAAACTTCCGCTACCCTCCCCATTACAGCAGAGAAAATAGTAAATAGAAGTAACAGCTAAATTCCCCAGATGGCACTTAATATTTGAAATGAAAAGCCTCACAATATTTTAGCACCAATTTTCCAAAAATTTGAACAATTTTTTTCTTCAGCAAAGATAGAGCTCAAAGTATGAAATAGTCAGAAAACTAACTACACCTATACATGCATAAAAAAATAACCCTAAAATTTAGCTGCATTAAGGGTCTAATGAAAAGATTTAAGTGATTACCCCATCAGATGCTGTTATAATTGAATGCAAATTTGGAATAGAGTCTGCACTTTCAATTTTAACAATAACATGAATATCTGCATTGCAACCTGCCAAAAGCAAAGGAAAAAGACATCATTAGTGGAGAATATAAAGCATATACCAAGTCCACAGTTATTATCTCATAAAAATAAAAAACTATGACAAAAATTGTAACTTACTTTGCAGATAATTCTTCAACTCATGAACCACTTGTGCATCTTTAACGAAGGAAACAGCATAAAAGTCAACTTTATTGTCTACTCCAAATTTTATGTCATCCCAGTCCTTTTCTGCAGTAAACCAACTGAAACAATTAAACGTTGCTCCTTAAGATCCCTCAACCCTATAGAGAGTGAGTGAGAGAAAAAAAAAAAAAAAGAGAAAGAAGAAGAGGAAAGTAGAAAATCTATGAAGTAATAGAAATGATAACAATTAAAATTCAAGGACCAACCAGTAATAGAAGGTAGTGTAGCACTTTTTCCTCGGACATTTAAATGCCGCCTAGACTTAAGCTCACCACCATCAACAACTTCACATTTCACTGAATCTTCTGTCTTAGATTTCACCACCAATGACATCATACCACCTACATCATGAATCAAAAGTCAGAGGAACATATAATCAGCATAATGAAAAAAAAACCATTGAGATTTTTCTAGCATTTTGTGTTCATAATCTAGTTAAGATTGATTTAGAACAGCAAACTCTTGTTTGATAATGAAAGGATACACATTAGCCTAGAAATGTAAAGATGATTCTATGCTACTAGGTACTTTTACTCAGCCAACCAACTTAAGTCTATATAGTCAACAAAATTTCTCTATAATGCTAAAGATTTCATTTGTGACTTAGTGAAAGACCCAAAAAAGTATGAAGGCATTTGCATAGGCATAGTTGCATTATTATTAAAAGATCTCGTTCACTTCTCATGTTTATGTTTAGGCAGAAGGCACTCCTGACAACAGCATCAGCAAACCCCTAGCTAAATAATCAAGAACATGGCAGGTGAGGTGAAAACCTTTTTGTGGAAAACCGATTCCTAACTAGATTTGATTAGGTGTCATTCATTTAGTATTTTGGTTGTTTCCTAAATAAAAGAGATTTGGTTCATTGATCAAATTCCTACTTGGTAGTTTCCATTTATTGTTAGATGATTTTTAGGTAATTTGTTATTATCTCTAGGATATCATGAGATTTGTCAGATTTGATGTTTTAGCTATATATATACTCTTGTACTCTAGAAAGTTTCTTAAGAATTCACAAATAAAAGTTTCCATGAATTTCTTCATGGTATTAGAGTGTTCATCCTGAATCATCAAAACCTACATATATATATATATATATATGTTTTCTTTCTATCTTTCTTTCTACACCATGGCCAGCAGCATAGGTGTGTCCGAGCCCCCTATTTTGCCTATCATTGGTCATAAACTCAATGGACAAAACTTCATCTAATGGTTTCAATCAGTGATGCTATTTGTTTGTGGAAAAGGTAAAGAGGATTATCACATGGAAATGGCTGTTTTACCCAGTTAGGATAACCTGAAGTACCGAACCTGGAAGTTGGAGAATAGCATGGTAATGTAGTAGTTGATCAATTCTACGACTAACGACATTGGTGAGAATTTCATATACTACAAAACTGCCAAGGAGATTTGGGATGCTACAAAAGAAACCTATTCTAACATAGACAATACGTATGCAATATTCGAAATCAAAAGCACTCTACATGACCTGTGGCAAGGAGACTACTCTATCACGGAATATGTTAATTCCTTAACTTGTTGTTGGCAGCAATTAGATATCTTTGAAGAAACAGCAAAGAAGTGCCTCGACGATAGTCAACAATATAGGAAAATAGTAGAGAAAGACCGAGTTTATAAGTTTTTACTTGGTCTAAAAAAGAGCCTTGATGATGTTCGTGGGAAAATTCTTAGCATCAAGCCATTACCCATCATCCGAGAAGTTTTCTCTGAGGTTCGCTGAGAAGAGAGTAGAAGGGAAATGATGGTAGTGACATCATGCAATCCACAAGAGATAGAAAATTCAACCTTTGCTGCACGAGGACCAAAATCCCACCAAAGTGGTGAAAATCAACAAAAGAAAGGTAACGGACCTTAGTGTGACTACTGTCAGAAGGCAGGACACAAGGGAAAATTGTTGGCAAATCCATAGGAAACCTGCTGACTGCAAGCCACGTTCTACTCGAAATTGAGAGAGTCATGGAAATTCTGCCACCACCCCCAGAATCAAGCCCGTTCAATAAAGAGCAATTAGAACTCATTCAGAAAATTGTTTAGCAATCTTTTCAGAACACTGGGTCAGTCGTAAGCACAGCATCTGTTGCACAAAATGGTAACTCTCTCAATGCTCTACTTGTGCAAAGATCAAGATCAAGATCTTGGATTGTTGATTTAGGCGCATCAAACCACATGACTAGTAATGCATCGGTGTTCCATGAATATAGCCCATGTTCTAAAAACCTCACAGTTCGAATAGCAGATGGGTCACTCTCACAGGTAGTCGAACCAGGTTTAGTCATTATTTCAAAGAACATAACACTTGACTCTGTTCTTCATGTCCCTAATTTAGATTGCAGCCTTCTGTCTATTAGTAAAATTATGAGAGATCTTAATTGTGATACTAAATTTCTTTCTAACATGTGTGAATTTCAGGGCTTGGATTCAGGGAAGAAGATTGGCAATGCTAAGATGTGTGCTGGACTCTATCTCCTTAGAGATGAAGAATCTAAGATACAATCATGGAAGAGTGCTTGTTCGATTTCATCTTCTAGTAAGAGTAAAGAAAATACAATCATGTTATGGCACTATTGTTTAAGACATCCAAATTTCTTGTACCTCAAAAAATTGTTCCCTAATTTATTCAATAAAGGTTTTGAGTCTTATCAATGAGAAATATGTCAGTTTTCCAAACACACTCGCAATTCATATCCAAGTCAACCATACATATCAACTCATCCTTTTTCTATGATCCATAGTGATGTTTGGAGACCATCGAAGGTTACCAATATTATAGGCTCTAGATGGTTTGTTACCTTCATTGATGATCAGACCAGGGTTACATGGTTGTTCCTCATGAAAGACAAGTCAGAGGTTAGTTCAATATTTCAACATTTCAACAAAAGGGTGAAAACTCAATTTCAAGCAAAAATTTAGGTGTTCAGAACAGATATTGGGCGAGAATACTATCACTCAGTTCTTGGATCTTACTTGTTAGATCAAGAAATTATTCATAAGAGCTCATGTACTGAAACTCCTCAACAAAACAGTGTTGCCAAGCAGAAGAACAAACACCTGATGGAAGTTGCAAGATCTATTATGCAAGCCTCTCATGTCCTGAAACATTTCTGTGGAGAGGCAATCGTGAAAGCAGCCTTCCTTATCAATAGGATGCCTTCTCGAGTACTAAAATTCCAAACCCCCTGTCAAACACTTCTCAAAACCTACCCTCATGTCCAAATCATTTCTTCCATACCAGTCAAAATGTTCAGATGTACTACTTTTGTTCTTATACACCAACAACAATGCAGTAAACTAGACCCCAAATCACTTAGGTGTATATTTCTTGGCTACTCACCAAACCAAAAAGGCTACAAATGTTTTTCACCAACTACCAGAAAGTTTTACACTTCTATGGATGTCACCTTTTTTGAGAATCAGCCATTCTATCCCAAAGCCAATATTTAAGAGGAGAGTTCTAGGAAATATCAACTTTGGGAGATTGAGCCATCAACTGATCCTTCCTTTACTTGTCTACCAATTCAAATTCCCATTTCAAATAATTCTTCTTTTTTTTTCGAGTCATGTAGTCATCCCGAGTTTCCAAAATCTCCTGAAACTGTGCAAGAGACAAAAGCTAAGGAAATGATTGTATACTTAAGGAGACCGAAATCTCAAAATGAGATAGGGACCTGTACATCTCCAACACAAAACCAAGATTTTGAACCAAATCCAGGGATTTTTGAAATTCATACAGGTAACACAATTACTAAACCTATCTCTGATGATTTTCCTAGTGATCTTGATCAGCCCATTGCTATAAGAAAAGGTGTGAGATATAGTACTCAGCATCCTATTGGTAACTTTGTTTCCTACTTTCTAAGCACTGGTTACACCATTAACTGATGTTCATATACCAAATACCATCCAAGAAGCGCTCAAACAACCAAAGTGGAAGGCTGCAGTAATGGAAGAAATACAAGCACTAGAAAAGAATGGCACACAGAAAATTATTGATCTTCTTGGAGGAAAGAGCCCAATGGGATGTAAGTGGATTTTACTATCAAACACAATACAGACGAAAGTGTAAACAAATTCAAAGCTCATCTTGTGGCTAGGGGGTTCACTTAGTCTTATAGGATTGATTATGAGGAGACGTTTGCTGTTGTAGCAAAACAGAATTCTGTCAGTGTGTTACTATCACTTGCTGCAAACTTAGATTGGCCTCTTCACCAACTCGATATCAAAAATGCATTTCTGAATGGTGATTAAGTGGAAGAGGTCTACATGAAGATTCCTTCAGGGTTTGACAACCACATCGGCAAGGTATGTAAGCATCAGAAATCCTTATATGGCCTCAAACAATCTCTTCGCGCCTAGTTTGATCGTTTGACTAAGGCTGTTAAAAAGAATAGGTTCTCACAATGCCAATCCGACCACGCCAGGTTTGTCAAACATTCATCAAATAGCCAAATTGCTATTATGATTGTTTATGTTGACGATATTATCCTCATACGAGATTATGAAGAGGAAATAGTTGGATTAAAGCCTCTTTTAGCTAAAGAGTTTGAAATAAAGGACTAGGCACAGCTTCAATATTTTTTTGGCATGAAAATAGCTCGATCAAGAAATGGTATTTCTGTTTCACAACGAAAATACGTACTTGATCTTCTCAACAGGGATGCTCGAGTGTAAACCAATGGATACTTCGATGAACCCAAATGTTAAGATGGAAACCGGAGATGGAAGTCCTCTCACAGACCAAAACAGATACGAGAGACTTGTGAGAAAATTAATTTATTTGGCACATACTAGACCTGACATTGGCTATGGTGAGCAGATTTATGAATAATCCTACAAAGACACGTGGAGGTAATATATCAGATCTTTCAACACTTGAAAAAAATCCAAGCAAAGGGTTGCACTTCAGAAAAACAATAACTAGAGATGTGGAGATTTTCTCAGATGCAGATTGGGCTGGTTCTATGACAGACTGAAGGTCAACTACAAGGTATTGTACGTATGTGTGAGGCAACTTGGTCAACTGGAGGAGCAAGAAACAAGCAGTGGTAGCTCGAAGTAGTGCTGAAGCTGAATTTAGGGCTACGTCTCACAGGATTTGTAAAAGAATTTGGCTTGAGAGAATGCTACAGGAACTGAAGAAGTCAGTTGGGAATTCAATGAAACTGTTTTGTGATAATAAAGCAACTATTAACATTGCCAAGAACCCTGTTCATCATGATTGAACGAACCATGTAGAGATTGATCGCCATTTCATCAAAGAGAAGATTGAAGAGGTGCAGTCAAACTGGTCTACACTTCAACAGAACATCAAACAGCCAACATCCTCACCAAGGTTCTTCATTGTGGCAATTTCAAGAATTTGAAGTCCAAGTTGGGTATGATTGATATCTACCACCCAACTTGAGAGGGAGTGTGGAAAACCAATTCTTAACCAGATTTGATTAGGTGTCATTCATTTAGTATTTTTGTTGTTTCGTAAATAAAAGGGGTTTGGTTCATTGATCAAATTCCTATTTGGTAGTTTCCATTTATTGTTTGAGGATTTTTAGATGATTTGTTATTATCTCTAGGAAATCATGAAATTTGCTAGATTTGATATTTTAGCTATATATATACTCTTATACTCTAGAAAGTTTCTTAAAAATTCATAAATAAAATTTTCATGAATTTCTTCACTTTTAAATTATTTCTAGATCATTAAATTCTTTCTTCAGCAAATGCTCTGAAAGACCATATTACATATTTGCAGTCTTACACTCTTGATAATTGCATCATAATGCTAAAAGCATATCATATTTTCAGACTAAAGGGAAATTATGACTATAAGTCTAGAACTGAGCTCCATTTTACTTGAAAAGTTCGAGATGACTTTGCACATGCATGCTGGCTGCTAGTTTAATGGGGGATGCATCAAAAAGTTAATAAAACCTACATACTTTCAAATTCTGTTGAAAGAATCAAGGTAACATACCATCAACAAGAAGCATGTCGCCCACTTCTACATCATTAACAAAATCATCATAGTTGACACTGACACAATCAGGTGTCCCAACCCCTCTCTGAATTGTAAAAGTAAATTCCTGTCCAGTTGTTAATGTAATTGGTTGGGGTAAGTCGCCACTCCTAACCTCAGGACCCTAATAAACAGAACCAAGTAATCATAAGAACACAATGAATGAATATTTAATGAAAAATGAAATGAAACAGATTAGAACTATTAAAAGAAAAGTACATAATATCAGTTATATTACTGTTGCCTACAACACTATGTCCAACAAATTTAATGGCTCATAAACTCACAAGGAAAACAAATGAATGGAGCCAAAAAATTATGCACACACATGTACGTATTTATATTTGTAATACAGTCTCTCTCATTTAAGTGCCCAAACCAGATACTGACTAACATACCGTCACTTGTACATGCTTGCTGGGCTTACTGCAAAATTGACTGCTATGGTCATGACCATAACAGAACCTGTTTTCAAAATTCAAGTAAAATTTTGGCAAGTTCATATAGGTTTATGATAAGAGCATTATCTAAGAGGACAAAATCCTGATAATAATTTTGAGAAAGAAAGGTCCATCCGATGTATAACTCTCACAATACCTAACTCATTGACTCAAGCAACGTAGCATAACTGCTTCTACACAGTAAAAAATAAATGAAATTGAGGGAACTTGCCTTGGTGTCAAGCATAATTGCAATGGTGTTGTCCTTGGATTGTGCATTATATTCCTTAACTAAATCAATAACTTTCTGATGAGATGCATGGTCTCCATGAGACATATTCAAACGAGCAACATTCATTCCAGCCTCGGCCAATTTCCATATCATTTCTCGTGTGTTTGTTGAGGGTCCAATAGTGCAAACAATCTTTGTTTTACGTCTAACAGTAGGCTTGGACCACATACCCACTGATGTGTCATCTACTTGCTGAATCCCCCTTAACTGCTCATATTGCTCCTCCCTCTGAAGGAAAAAATGGTAAGAAAAGTTACAAGCAATGATTTCCAGCGAATTTCTCTCTGCAACTGTCCATGATAAGTTATTTAATTATAGATAAAACAGCAACCAAAAGCATACTGATTATGTCATGCAACAACAATGCCCTCATCCTATACCAGAGTAAATAACAATAAAACTTGAATTTCAGGTGAACTCCAATGTGTAATTCAGACTTCATCATTCTAACCAAAAAATTAAGTTGTTATGCATTTCAAGGGTCCTTTTCTTTTACCGGAAAAGGAGAAATGGCTGGATATTATGACCCCTATCATTCACCTTTTATATTTTTCATTTCTTGGAACAATTTCTTTAGCACAAGGATAACCCACATTATACCAAACACTGGCTTGTAACAAGATCTCACCGGAAATTTTGACTTGAGACCTAACTTTTTCTCATGATTTGCTTTCTTGTTAGAAAACGCAACAGTGTCAAAATTCCCCTTTTTAGAAAAAAAAAAATCAACATTTCTATTTATGGATGGTGCAAAGTTCAATAATAGGCTAATGCATTTTCAAAATACCTCACAGAACCTTATTCAACTTGACATTTACTTGACTACGCTCAATCATAATATTATCAATCCAACGCCTATTCCTTTCTTAGCTCCTAACTTAATCAAAAACATTAACTAAGATTCAAAAACGGTCGATTCAATTTTAATTTCTTTTCGCGTGCTCTATCAGCAACCAAACACATAAGGATAGCAGACGATCAGAGAGGTTCAAAGTGGCACAAACCTTCGGTACATCCTCGGGAGATACGGGAATAACTTCAGGCTCGGCACCTGCGGCTCTCTTGGCAGCAATCCGAGAGTTCGTCCTAAGCACGACTCTCTTGCTCTTCTTCTTCTTCCCGTCTCGTGCCAGCACTTTCCAAGCGAAGCTCGCAGGCTTGATCTTCTCCACTCGCTCTTGAATGGATCCAGAGCCCTGGCTCAAGAATGAAGCATGGAGAGATCTAGTGGCCACCACTTGAGCCATTGCTAAAATGAGAGAGAGATAGAGAGAAATAGATGAAATGAAAGCGTGTAACGGGAGAGGAAGGTGACGAAACGGGAGGGATTTTTAAGAAAGAAATTGGAGGTTGGAGAAATCGCCGCTAAATTTGGCGCAAGGTGAAAACAAAGGAGGCCGGAGAATGAAGAGAGCTTAGTTTGTATCGAGAAGAGTATGGCGACTTTCATTCATCTGCTTTTTGCGCTATAACTATTTTTTTCAAAACGGTTGGGAATTTGATTAACTTGTTATTGTCAAGGAGTATACGACGTCGTGCTCAAGTTGGATTGAACACTTTGATATGACACGACGTCGTTCGAAAGTTGGGCTTAACCCATTGATAGGAATTCGATTCTTCATTTTATAAAAATTTAAAATTATTAGGATTAGGATTTGTACGGTAAACGTCGCTTCACTTATTTAATCAAAGACGAGATAAAACTCTTCATTTATTAATTTTTCTTTTAAATTTCATTTTAGTTTATATATATATTTTTTACTTTTCTATTTTTAAGTTGATAGTTTTAAAATGAAAATAATAATTTTTAAATTTATCATTTTGTTAATTATAATAAATAGATTTTAAATTATAATAACATATTCACTTATTTGACTTAACGGACCCAATGGACCCATAAAAGGAAGTAATGTACTCTATTTAACGGGCGCAATGGGTGGCTCATGACCAAACCAAGAAGCCTAGGGCATTTGTTTTTTATCCTCTTCGTTCTTGTCGCTCGACCGACAATATTCTCCCACGTCACTAGTATGCTGACCCTAACCATATTCCCTATACCACCTGATCCTATCTCAGCACACATTCAAAAGCGCGGGAAAGTTCGCATCTCGATTGGCGCCACAAGAGCCCTAATCGGCCAATTTTCTACTAGTAACATTTTACTTTCCCCTCGACTATCTTCGCCTTCTCATATCTCACGCAAAAATCTTATTAGGTTTTATCATTCTTACAAAATTTCGTCAGATCTGATTCCTTCATCACCGAAAACCCTAGCCTCTACTGGTTTCTTCCCAAACCCCCAATTCAAAACCCTAACTCCCTGAGAAAAAAATGGACATGGAGGGCTTATCAGGAATTTGCGCCAGTCTCGGCATCCTCGAAGAAGACCAGATAACGAAACAGACTGTATACACAAAGGGCGAGCACTGTTTAGGTAGTCATTTTCCGTTATTAAAGTAAATTTTTGTTCAGCGAATATAAATTGGCTTAACTAGTCTTGTTTCAAATAACTTACTCGCAGATGCTTTGAAGGATTTACTGAGGTTTTTAAGGCGGGATGATCCACAAACGCGAGAAGTATTTAAGCAAGTTTGCAGATGGAATATTGCTTCAAAAAACTTGATTCCAATAATTGAACATTGGCAACATGATCGGAATTTGGTGTTAAATGCAGGTAGGTAAAAGATTTGATTTAGTGTTCTAAAAAAATTGTATAAATGCTAAATTGGTGAGTATTGACGTCCTTTTTAAAAAAAAAAATTGCAGTGAAAGTTTTAGTTTTCCTTTCAATGCCTATCGAGCCTTCCTCCAGTGATATTCCTCAGCAGATAGAGTATCTCTGGAATATCAAGTTTTCTCTTACGAGCAGTGATGCTGTTGCAGTTATAGTTTCCCTTCTTGAAGGTCCACTTGAGAATTTGGAATGGTAAGCAAGAAAATTTCTTCTTTTTTACCAACGGGCTCTTTCGTTGCTTACTTAAGTTAATGTGCAGGAAAAAGGAAGATTAGTTAGATGTTTATTGGCTAAAAAATCGGATGTTGTATGAAAGCCAGCCTAAATATGGTTTAAAAAAAAAAAGAATGAGTTTAACTGTCTATGAAACATTCAGAAACAAGGTTCTAGCTAAGCTTGTTAGATGTTGTGAAGCAGGACGTTCATCTTTCATGTACATGTAAAGCAGTTGTGTCATTATATTCCCTGTTATTTGTTGTGTTGATATCACCTTTAATGGTTAACCCTTTCAATTTCAGTGAATTATTCACAGAGGACGACTGGAAATTGGTCCAGCTGGTTGTCACCTTATTTCGCAACATTCTTGCCATCCAAGATATTTCATCCCTACAAAAGGCTGGCCATTTTTTATCATTGAGAGACAGGTTTCTTGAGCTTTTGTTCCGTGAGAATGTAATGGACTTAATGATAGTTCTAACTCAGCAGATTGGTGGTTCTCGAGGCTATCTTCATCAGGATAACTTGCTTCTATTAGAAACTTTTCATCACATATTTATGGGTCAAGAACCAGAGTTGCTTTCCAAAGCTTATTTGAAGGGTTCTGAGGTTTGTTTTCCTTTATTCTCGTATAATTTCATCTGATTATTCAGTAGATTACTGCAATCCACATTTCCACATGCTTACTTGTTTCTAGTGAACTCTGTATTATAGGAGGGCGGAGATACCAAGGCTTGTATTGATGATCTCAAGTCTATCATGGAAGAGGAAGTAAAGAAAAGAAGGATTTCAAGACTCCACCTTACTGGCCGTCATTCACAGTTTAGTGGAACATTTACACGGCTTACTATGGTATGTCGTATTATTGTCATTGATGTCATTGATACTTTGCAGGAGTTGCATCAATAAATTTAATAACTAATCATGTTTTGTCTGACAGGGTGGTTCTACAGCAGTGTACAAGGCAAACCCTAATTATGCTTCTCAAACTGCTCTGCTTAAATCTCATAAAAGCCATGGGATTTCAACTCAAAAAAATGCAAAGAGACATGGACAACTACATTTAACGAGGAAAAATATTCTGGGATTGCTTCATGATTTTGTGAACCAGTTTCTTTCAGGAGGGTACAATGGTATACACTTTGGAATGAAAATGCCAGCTTGTTTTTATGTCATCCCACCCCCAGCTCCTCGTTTATTTTTGGTTCTTTCCCTTATCCTCCATCTATCTGCTGATACTTAAATACAAACTCAATGCATGCCAGTATTGATGAAATCTATTCGTGAGGATATTGAGAAGGAACATCACGCAATTCAGAAGGGTGACATCATTGTTTTCTTTAAGGTTGCAGAGTTTGTTACTTCTTTTCAATATCACAAGTTTTTGAACTCAAAGGTGAGGAATACTCTAATTTCTACTTGTTTTCTTGTAGACACCCTGCACCCACACGGACAAACTTGTTGAAATGGGTAGAAGATGCGTGTTTACATCTGTGAATTGTCTTTTACAAGTTAATCATCTTAGGTTGTTATGTTATTGATGCGTGGAGCTTTAAACTCATCATTATCTAAAGCTGTTAATTGCATATTTTTGTTGCCTCTTACATGGCTGTATAAAAAGTTATGGTAAATCTTTAAGTATTGGGATGTGTTGGTGAATCAAATACCTTAAAACTAACTTCCATACTTCTTAAAATGTGTCAAATTGGAAGGACTTGAGATTAGAATATTATAGTTTAATGTTTTCAGCTTGTGATTCAGATTTAAAATTTATGTTAGCAATAATTCCAAATTGAGGTATGTTGGGAATAACACAAAGTCTTGTTGTTTCTCCATTCCCCAATAAGGAACACATGAGTTGTTTCCTTTACCATCCTCACCTTCCCAGAAATTTGCCCCATCTTTTTTCCCCTTCAATATCCAAACACACTGTTAAAATTTTAGTTTTACAGGAGCAGCAGCACTAGAGAACGATGTTTTTTTTTTTTTGTAAACTACTGACTGGGGAGTTTGCATAATTTTTTTGTGTTCATAGAAGGTCCAAGTGCAACAAATAAAAAAAAGCAATGAGAATTATTTACTAGACCTTTCAGGTCCTCTTTGTTTGCATGATTTTGACCTTAGTTTGAGACCCACATAAAGACGAAAACTGATATTTTTCATTTCAGGTTATGGTAAGTTCTTGTTAATGGATGGTTAGCATGTTGTGTCCATAAAGGACACAACTAACTATAAATAAATGGTGCCAAGAAAGACTACCTTGACTCTGAAGTTTACACGTGAAGGTTCAGTTCTTGATGCACACTTTTGATAGCTTATATTTTGTACCTATTGATGCATACTTGTTTGCTTGGTGTTGAACTTGCTCAAGCATCATGGAACATGTTATATGTAATCTCCTCATGAAACTTTGAAATTGGTTTTGTTGTAGTTTTTTTGTGCAAATAATCAAAGTTCTGGTTGAGAGCTTCTTATTGAAGAGTTAAAATTGGTTTCTCTTGTTCGGATCCAAAACCTTAATCTCTAAGAATTTAGTTGTTGTGCATTAGTTTCATTCCTTCAGTAGTAGTTTGATACTTCCTTCTTGCTGAAATAGTTAATGGCTTCATCATTGTAATCGCTTTTGTTTAATAAATGTTTGCATTGGACATGGGTGCCCTTTAACAGCCAACTGTAGAAAATTCTACATCTGAAGTTTCTGCTGATAAATGTGCTGATAGCACATGTTTCCAAGGTGACATATGTGGACCAATTGCAGCATCAATGAATGAATCAATGTTCCAACTTGTGATTTCAAGATGGCGTAATGCATTTGAAGGCTTGAAGGAAACTAATGATTACAAGTTTCTATCTGCAGCAAGTACTCTTATGAAAAATATGGTGATATTCACTTTCTTTTACCATCTATACTTCTGTATGCTTGCTTTGCCAAATTTGTTTAGTGTAGAATTGGATATTGTTTATGTTACTTAGCCTTTATGTCTTTCTCCTGTGCACTGGCTAGCTAAGATACATTGATAAATGTTTTTGCTATCTACTATACCCAAAAGGCTAAACATTGGCCTATATTATAATATTACTTGATAAAGAATCTTTCTTCTTATGTATCAATAAAAGAATGGGCACTGCACACTTTAAGGTACGGACAATTCTTCTTTTACGAGGATGATATTAAGTCATCTGTTAATATTTGAAATCAAGAAAGAACAGTTTCTTGTCATGGGATTGTAACTTACCCTTTTGAAAAGCTTTGGTTGAGTGTACTGATCTATTTACATGCTACTGCTATTAAATGGATTTCCCCCCTTTTTGTTTTCTGAATGCAGATTCGTATGTTGGATTTAGTGCTTAATTTATTTCCAGAAGATTCTAAGGAGCCTCAGACAGCTCGCATCCTTCTTTACAAGCTATTTTATGATCAGACTGACCAAGGAATGACCCAGTTCCTACTGAATCTAATCAAAAATTTCAACTATCGCAAGCAATCCAAAAGGTTTCTTCTCAATCTCAGAGAACCTAGTGTTCATATTAGCAGTTGTGTTTGAAACCATTTAAAATAACCTTGGTTTTCATTTTTCAATCTGTTCCCAATTATTTTGTATACTTGCTTTTGAGAAATACTACAACCTTCTTAGATAGAGAAGGCTTGTTACGCCCCCACCCACTCCTTTTCATTTTGCACATTTTATATACATTCATGTCTTATATATTTTTAGAGTGATCAAGTGAAAACCATATGTTCTATGGGTATGCATTGTTCTGATCTTAGATTCTTGTCTTTTCATTTTATGTATGTATAAAACTTAATTACGCTTTTACTATCTTTTGAGGACAGCTCAAAATAGAACAAATAGTGACCATCGGCTAAAATTTGTCATAGACATGAAGGAACCTTTTAACTTGCATAAATGATTTTGTTGCTTAGTCATTGTAGAAAAAATTGTCTTTCTTAGTTGCTATTCTGTCTTGCTATTGGACGCTATTTTATTTTATTTTATTTTTTATCAGTTATCTTGCAGATTTGGTAGAAATGATGCATGTAATTATGCAGCTCATGGAGAATCTTCAAGCACGTGGCTCATTAAGGGTATGTTATGCTTTAATTTTCCTCTTAGAAAGGGAAATAAAAACACTGTTTAAGTTGTAATGTAGCAGATGAGTGCAAGCCTTGGTTCCATGACCTGCTTGTGCACATGAAAAACCCACTTACTATTGTAAGAGATCTGATTGTTGTCAACCAATTTGCTAAATTTGGCTTCAGTTGTCAATGAAGAAAGTGATAATTAGAATTGCTTTCAACTTCATTTTATATGAGTTGACTTTTGATCGCTTAAAGTGGTTATCTGCTATATATGACCTTATGGATTAATTGTCTTTAAATATTTTGTAAGTGCTGAGCTACTGGGGTATTTCATATATCTGAGTCAACTGAACTCTTACTATTAACATGCAATTAATAAAGTTCTGTCTTTAGTATGAAATCTATCTTATGGAAACCATTATGTCATCTTCCTCTTTCCTTATACACTTTAATTCTATGAAAAATCCTTTAATTTTATTATGCAACTATATCTCTATCCCACATCTCTCCCCATGTGCATGCCTTTTCTTGAGTAAGATCCTGCTCTTTTGATTTTTAGACTTAACACTCACATCATGCTTCACTACCTATGGATTTCTAGTTTTGCTTTGCATCCATTTTGAAGAGCTTTCTTCTCTTTCTGTCCTTTTCTGTTGTTACTTGTATTGTGCACTGAAATGTAAATTTCATGATTAAGGTTTCTAGAAAATCAAGGAAGGGGAAGACGAAGAAAGCAGTTAGTGACAATGTTACCAAAAGTGAACAGTTTGAAGACTATGCTGCTGCACCAGATGGGTTTGGCTCCTCAGTTTGTGAACAATCAGCAGAATTTGTGTCAGAAAAAGAAAGCCCGGTGAAGGTTACATCTGATTTGAAAGAAGATACTAGTAGCCCTTTCTTGGTTGATGAGCTAGGAATGTCTGGGACAAAAATAGGAAGTCATGGAGATCTGCCACAGGTTGATAATGATACACCTGGTCATGCTGATGATGATCTTTGTTGCAGCACTGATGGTTCTTCTGGCGATGAACAGCCAGTTAATGAAGTTGATTTTAAAGTTTCTACACTCATTTCAGCATTTGCAAACTGCAGCATTATTCAAAATTTATGCTGGTTACTTAAGTTTTATAGGAGCAATTCCAGTAATACAAATCACTACATTATAGGCATGTTGCAGAAGATAACTGATGACCTTGAGCTTGCTCCAATGCTTTATCAGGTCAAAACTTTGAATTGAATTTTTTATAGAGAATATGGAGAATTTCTGAATGGCAAAAACCTAACAGATGTTTAATTTTGTACAAAATTTTGCAGCTGTCACTCCTTTCAACATTCTATGACATACTGTCTGAGCAGAAATCATCTCCAAGTGAGGGCCATGCAGAGATTGTTGGCTTTGTTACTAGTTTGGTCAGAAACATGTTAAAAAAAATGAAGAACCGGCCCCTTCTTTTTATTGAAATTCTCTTCTGGAAGACACGGAGAGAATGCCATTACATTAATGCTGAATATTTATTGCATGAGTTGGGCCATTGGAAGAAAGGAAATGGAAAACAGGAGAGTATTCGAGGAAATGGAGAAGTTGAGTCCTTGCAGGCCAGTGAATGGGTTCACAGAAGCATAGCGGATGCACTGGGTGACGATGAAGCTGATGTTATGATCTCTCATGACCTAGGATGTCAGAAGTAAGAGATGCTCGCAATTTAATTCATTTGGCTTACATATATCAGCTTAATAGTGGAAGAGTCAAGATTTCAACTAGCATTTGATATCAACTCGTTTTAAGGCTTTAGGTTATTTTATCTGTGGTCTGGGCCATGGCTTTTCATATTTTATTATAATTTCATTTTATAAGGATGCTTCGATATTTCAATTATAATCAGAATGTTGAATCAAAATGCCATTATTTATTCTTTTTTAGAAATGAAGGGTATAGCATCTCAACAAACTATAAGCCTTGGCCACATTTTCTGAATTGAGATGATTGACTGAGAAACTGCTTAATTGGTGTATCTGGCTTGTACAGTGGGGAAAATTCCATGGAAAATGAATCTGGAAAGATTTATGAAAGAAAGAGAAGACTTGTACTAAATGATGACATGGAGACAAAAGTCAAGGATCTGTATGAGAAGTAAGTTTGTTTTGATCCACTTGTCTCTCTCAAAAGCATTTTTCACTTATATCATTCCCTTTTTTTTTCCAAAAATATGATGCATCCACTTGCCAACATTAAAAAAAAAAAAAAATGCAAAAGCTTGTGATCTTGGTTGATGATTGGGATTCTCATTGGTGAACGAATTAAATGTTTGCTCTTGGCTTATCTTAGCATGAATTCTTCTTATATCCCTTCAGAAGTTTCTGAAGTTAGTAAGCACTTTTTTCTGCTTGGAAATATGTTGTTGCAGGTTCAAAGATTATCCAAACTGTAGCCGTCTTATTGTGGAATCCCTAGATCCTGATGGTGGAATTTCACCTGCTCAAGTTTCTAACAAACTTAAACAGCTAGGACTTAAAGTTGCTTCAAGGAAAAGGATACGGGATGCTGGTAGAACTTTCCATGCTGGTTCTGATCTACAAGGGGGTGAAAGCACTCTTCACAATTCAAATGATTTAGAAGAAAGTTCACAAAGGCGACCTTTGTAAGTATTTTTCTGTTATCTATCTTACTTGTTATAGTCAACATAGTCTTTTAAGAGTTTCAGTGAAACAACTCTTGGTGCAAAAATGTGGCATTGTGCTCTTGAAGTTGTAGCTTTGAACATGCAAGGAATGAATGGCATGAATCTTAAACAGGTTGTTATATAGATGTTCATGTTAATGTGCTATTGTTCTTGACAGGAACTCCAGAAAAAGAGTCCGTGCCTTTAGCAAGGATCAGGAGGCAATGATTAAAGATTTGTTTGAGCAGTAAGTGTCAGTTTATCAGTCTTCCTCATTCATTCTTGTTTTCAATTGGAGTAAATTAATTTGTTATGGTATAGTATTGATTCTAATTTCCACTAGAATTCATTCTACCATGGCAAGAAATCTATAGATGCCTGAAGGACTAACATTAAATACTATTGAATGCCTCTATTACATTCGTTATAAGGAAATAGTAATTTAACCTTCTATGCAGGTTTAAGGACCATAGGAGGTGTAGTTACATGATTGCAAATGCACTGGATGCTCAAAAAGTGTTTACTGCTGCACAAGTTTCACGCAAACTCAAGCAACTTGGCTTACGCATTCCTCGGCAGAAAAGGTCTGAAGATAACATGCATTTGAGGGATGAGGAACTAAAGGACTTATCTGGAGATGAAACACCTGACTCTGACAATGAGACATTGCTATCATTTAGGAAAAGGTAGTACACATTTAACTGTTTATCAGTTATTCAGATTTCTTGTGCATTAATTTTTAAATTTCCATGGCCCCCATTGTTGTATGAACTTTTGTCAAATTCCTATTAGCGTGCTTTGAATGTTCTCTCTGGTATTTGGTTTGAAGCTACCTCAGAGATGAATGGGACTATTTGTTTATCAACATTGGTTATCCTTCAGCACTAACAAACTCAGCATAATCCTAGCCTTCAAAAAATTTTTGGATTGGATACAAAATTTCCGGTTTAATACTTAATATTATTTCTGGTGCTGTTTCTTTGCTGCTAATGCTAGCACATAATAGTTGTCTTTATGCCAAAGATTCTTTTCTATATGAAAAACTAACCAGGGCAATTCCATCAATCTGAAAATGGATTTCAAAAGTGAATCTGATTTTCTTATTGCAAGTGAGGTTAATAGTATTACTTATCTTCTGGTGTTATATTGGAAGAAACCTTTTTGTGTTATGAAGTCATTTAACATTTAAAAGAGAGCTATTAACATTTATTTTCACCTTCAAACTTTTGATTGTTCAATCAAGAGTTTCCAGAACAGGATGTGGAAGGAAAAATATCAGGTGATACTGATGATGAAACCCTTAGCTTCATTCTCAAGTAACTCTGTGTGCGTGTGTCCATTTGTCTGTCTGTCTGTCTCACAAACTTTCACACACAAACTCGATCATGCATACAGGCATGTTCAGGCACTCACAGTAAAAAGGAAAGTAACATAGAACTCTGGATCTTGATTGTCTAATAATTTGGACCTTCAGAGTCCCTCTCTTGCTCCCCGTCGCTAATATTGTTTAGCAATAAAACCTTCTGTTTTCATGCAACAGTGCTTTTAAAGTAAGCATGTTATGACCTTTTTCCTTAAATGCTATAGGCATGGAACAATCTGTTGGTTTGTTAATTCTGCGTTTCTCTTTCATTTTCAAGCGGCTCCATGTTTTCTTCTAGGTTGCACATAAGAATGTTCATTACATACTAAGCAACACTATATATTTCAAGAAATGTTTACACTACTTTAATTATTTTCTCTTCTCTCAATAATTTTATATTTTAATCATAGGAAAACTGGAAAGCTCCCTTTGAAGTCAAAGAATGAGAAGCTAGCAACAACAACTAGTGGGCAGAGGATTGCCAAAATCTCTGGAGCTATAGCTGCAAATGATGTGACTGAAAGGTACGCCATCCAACTTATTGAGAATGCATCTTTAAAATTGCAACTTCGTCTACTGTATAATTATACAGCTTGTATAATATATCCTGAAAAGTGACTTTTTCTGGCTACTTAACATGTGTGCAAATACTCAAGAAATATTTTAGGGCTCTGCTTTTGCTGATGTATCTATTTGGATAGCTTTCATCTGCTTAGCATAAACTGATCTAAATTAGAGTTTAACCTTTAATTTTTTGTGTAGGGTTGGAAGCAACCAGTTAACTGAAATGGATGTCTTGTTTCACCATGATAGCAGGGAAGTCACTTCAGAAGCTGTAAAGCTGTCACATGTATCACCTGGGAATGCTGAGGGTGATTTGGCACATCAGCAAGCAGAAGATGAGTTGGCTGACTCGTGGGATGATGTACCATCTGGTTCATTTGTGGAAAGTACCATAAATAGAAGGGCATGGAGGATGGTAATTGATCCTGAGGATGATGATTAGATCAGAAGCATATTTAGGTTTTTTTCTCCTTTATCTCATGTTACTTTGCCGTTCTACTGTGTTATCATAGTTATTAGCTTAATCCTGTTTAAATCCGCAGTTTTAGCTCTCAGAGAATTTTGCATTTGCAAATCCAGTCTGGCCATCATGGCTTGTGTAGCAACGCAGGAATTATTTGAACCTGTTAATGATTTTGGATGGTATTAGATCCATATTTGTTGATTTCCTTGTCAAATTACATGAATCTTATTTTCTAGTTCCTGTTTAGCAGAGTGAAGCATGACAGAAATAGGCTCGATCTAGTTTCTTCATGCTCATTATATCTGGATTTCTGCTCTCTCAATCTTAGGAAGTTCCTTAAATTCTACAAAATATTAAAACTCCTATTCAGGTGCCATTTTTTGTGCTATCATGTTTTTGATCGTTCTTTTGTCCTAACTTCAACAAACCTGATATACCCCACCTGTTTCTTTTTCCATTCTTTCTTTGACTCCGTTACTGATCTTTGTTCCTACTTATGTTGCCAGGGGCAGCTCAACATCTGGCATTGTCTGTGGACCATGTGCATTCTCTTTGCTGGTAAATTGGAAAGCGTTAGATGCTCTAAAGCCTAGCCTAGTGTTTTAAGGTATAGGAAATATTTCCGTTTGGTTTATGCTTGGGAATAAAGTACAGTACTAAGCAGGGGATTGGTAGATGGCTGATGCATAGAATTGATTATTTTGTTTTTGAAGACTTTTTTTTTTTTTTTGTATATAGGAAATGAATTCTGAATGTCTCGTTAACAAGGATGCGGGTCTGCGGTCGGCGCGTCTGTTGATATTTTCTAAAGCTTAAAACAAGTTCTTGATGATACACAGACACGTAGACACGTGGTATATAATCTTCCTCTTGACCTGACTGGCAAATTTGATGAGGACCGAATGGTGGAGGTTTTAGTAGATTTTAGATTATGGCATGCATGGACACAAAACTCTTGTACTTTACTTCCCTCTTTCATGCGACTGAAAAAAAAAATCCTTATTGGAGTAATTGAAAAATAAAGGCTAAAACGAAGAGGATAAAACAAAAGGGTCTCTGGTTACTGGTTTTATATTAGCTCTTGGTTTAGGATCAGGCCTCAGAGTGAACCAGTCATGCTTATAGTGAGTAAATCCCAATTGTTATTGCGAATTGTGATTAAAAACTTGGAAAAGAAAAAAAAAAAAAAAAAAGAAAGGAATAAAATAAGTGTGTATATAGATTTAATGTCCCCTGCTACCTCGGCTCACTCCTCTGAGGTTGCTTTTATTCCCCGAAAATCTTTTTGACATATGTTTTAATGTGCGGCAAAAGAAATAAAGAATTAGGCTCAAAGTAAATTTTGATGAAACTAGACATCCATTCTCACTCAGAATTGAAAATAAAAAAAATAACATGGAACTAATGAATAAAATGCAAGCAATAGCTACGAGAAGTTTTTTCAAGCATATGACCAGAATCTTCCTGATTTGCTATCAAAGTAAAATGCACGCCACTATGCATTACTAGTAGCAGACTAATTTAATCATTAAGTACTGTAGTTTTCCAGTAACCCAAAAAAGAAAAAAAAAATACTAAACTAATACAGGCGAATTAATTATTAAGTTTTATCAATATTTAACTTCCTCACCCTTTGTTAGTAATATTAATTATCAATCCCCTAACTAACAAGGTTGACTTACAGGTTTTCCGGAATATTAAGAAGGTTAAGAAAAGTACAAGTATTTGAAATTGAAATTTCGCTTATTAGTTTATGCTATTATTTTAAAATATGAGATTCAATAAATTTAAATTTTATTTAAAAAAAATTTATAATTTATTTTAATATAAAATAGATTGTAAATTTAAAATTTAAATCTTAATATTTTTTTTCTCTAAAAAAGATTACAATTTTTTTTTTAATGTATGTAAAGGGATTTTTTGTTAAAGTGAAAGAGTGTTACAACTAAGTAAAACAGGATGTGTCAAGAGATGACGGAAAAAAAATTGAAGTAGATCTTAAAGTATTGAGTACAGTGATAGGTGATGATAGATGGTAAAATAAGACTTATTCAAGAAGAGAATAAAGCTGAGAAAAAGATTTAAAAAGAAAAATTACAAAAAGAATTTGAGAGAAAATTATGAAAAATCTGTCAAAGTCCAAAGTCTCCCATGAATTGTGAAAACTCATATTTATAGATTTCAAAAATAAGAGTTACATATTAAGTAATGAATAAGAATAATGTGAGAATTAGCTAAAGGTGTTAACGTCTAAATTAATGGGAGTTTAATTAAGTTTTGTTAATTGGTATAATAAACATAGAAATTCATCATCTATTTTAAAAGAAAAGGAAAAGCACTTATTTAAAAAAATTGTTCAAAGGAATCCTCTTAACTATTATCATATTTGATTCACCAAGTCAAACTTTTTAAAACATCCTAATAATAGAATTAATCCAAGAATACTGTCATATTTTATAGTTATTTTTATTTTTTCATTAAGAGAAGTAACATTCGATGAAACATCTTTTGTAGAATAACTCTTAATAAAGCAACATTTAATAAAAGAGGTTTTGATAAAAGTGTTAATAATGTTTCTTGAAAAAATTATTTCGAAAACAATTATTCTATAAAAGTGTTTCATGAAAGAGTTGTTATTTGAATAATTCCTTCGTGCATAGTTGTTATGTTAAAATATTGTTCCATAAATAATTGTTTCATAAAGTAACTTTAGTTGAAACAATTTTTTCACTTGTTTTAACTTATCATTCATTTTAATAATTTTAGAAAAATTTATAAGAATAAAATTTTAATAACTAAAATCAAGTATTTACAATATAAAAAAAATTTTAATATGAAAATAAAGGAAGCGATTGTATTTTATTAGAATTTGAACCTCAACCTTTTAAATCTTATCTTCTAAAGTAAAATCAATTAAGTTAAATTTCGGATTTAAATTATATCAATCTTTGAAAAAAAAACAAAAACTAATTAGACCGACTTAGATTTAAAAAATGTTCTTGACGTTCATTTGCATAACCTTGTGATTGGTATTGCTGGTATAGAATATGATCAGATAGGACTGAAAAACATTTAAATGAATTGTTTTCTTCTTATGAAATAGCAAAGTAAACTTCAATACAGCTTGATTGAAACCGGTCTTGCCAGAGCCCTGTGCTCTAATTTCTGAAAGTTCAAACACAATACTCGGACTTGATCATCATGAGAATGTAACTTGTGATGTCCCTTCTTCTTTCAACCTTGTTTATTGGATTTCTGCTTGAAGAACATCTGACACTCGGGTCCAACATATTGGTAGGGGAAGTTAATGCTACAAGGTGCAGAGAGAATGAGAGACAGCCGCTCCTAATCTTCAAACAAAACCTGGTGGATGACTCTGACATTCTCTCTTCATGGGGAAATGGAGATGACAAAAGAAATTGCTGCAAATGGAGAGGGGTTGTTTGCAGCAACAGAACTGGTCATATCCTAATGCTGAATCTTCAACCTACAGATGGATATCTAGGAGGTACGATTAGTCCTTCATTGCTTAACTTGTCCCATTTGAATTATCTGGATCTTAGTTTCAATAATTTTAATGGAAACACCATTCCTGAGTTCATTGGTTCTCTCAGAAACTTGAGATACCTCGATCTTTCCTATGCTTGTTTCAGTGGACCAATTCCTTATCAGTTTGGAAACCTTTCCAGGCTGCAATCACTTGAACTCCGTGGAAATGATTTGTACAGTAGCTCAAATCTTGAGCGGCTCTCCCATCTGTCTTCTTTGAAAAAACTTGACCTCAGTTTGAGTAACCTTAGCAAGTCCAATGATTGGGTTCAGGTAGTCAACAAGCTTCCTTTCCTTTGAAGCTTGAGTTTGGAATCTTGTAATCTTCCAAATACCATCTGCCCATCTCTTTCTCTTATCAATTCCTCAACAACTCTGACTAGTCTCGAGCTTTTTGGTAACAATCTCACTTCTTCTGTCATATACCCATGGTTGTTTAATGTTAGCAGCAATCTTGTTTTATCTTGATCTCTCATTGAACCAGTTGAAAGGTTCAATTCCCGAAGCTTTTGGAAAATGAATGCTCGCTAACAACTCAGCCTCTTCAGCAATCAGCTTGAAGGTGGGATTCCTAAATCTTTCAGGAATATGTGTAGTTTGCAATTACTACTTCTACATCATAACCATCTCAGCGGAGACTTTTCTGAATATACCAAAAATCTAAATGGATGCACAGAGAATTCACTGGAGATTTTGGTTTTAGATAATAATCAAATCACTGGGTTAATACCTGATCAAATCGCAACATTCTCTTCGTTAACAGACTTATCACTTGGAAACAATCGGTTTAAATGGGACTATAAGTGAAAGCATTGCTCACCTTTCTAAGCTTCAGATTTTGGACCTTCAAGGGAATTTTCTCAATGGTGTGATCTTAGAAATTCGTTTCTCCAATCTCTCCAACCTGCAGACCTTAGACTTATCTTATAATTCTTTGTCTTTGGAATTCAGCAACAATTGGATTCCTCCTTTCCAACTAAGTTTCATTCGTCTAGGCTCTTGCAAGTCAGGACCTCGTTTCCCAAAATGGATTCAGTCTCAAAAAATTTTGCTGAGCTTGACATTTCGGCTGCTGGAATTTCAGATTCTATTCCCCTCTGGTTCTGGGACCTATCACCTTCAATACGTTACTTGAATATCTCTTACAACCAGATCAGTGGTATTCTTCCAGATTTGTCACTAAAGTTTGTTGGTTTCCCAGGTTTAGATTTAAGGTCTAATCTTTTAGAGGGTCCATTGCCACTGTTCCCTTCTAATTTAACCTCCTTAAATCTTTCCAAAAATAGGTTTCTGGGATCAATTTCTTCCCTCTGCAGAATTACAGGTGGAGCTTTGCAATTGCTTGACCTCTCAGAAAACCAGTTATCTGGTATAGTACCCAATTGTTTTCAACCATGGCCATCTCTACAGGTCTTGAATTTAGCTAACAACAACTTTTCAGGTCGAATTCCAAGCTCCGTTGGATCTCTAGTTTCACTTGTAATGTTCAATTTACATAACAATAGCTTCTCAGGGGAATTGCCTTCCTCGTTAAATAGTTGTAGAGGGTTGAAATTTGTGGATCTAAGTGATAACATATTATCCGGAGAAATACCAACATGGATTGGACAGAGCCTAACATCATTGGTTTTTCTGAGCCTCCACGCCAATATATTCAATGGAAGCATTCCCTACCACCTTTGTGACTTGGCAAGTATTCAAATCCTGGATCTCTCCCGAAACAAACTCTCTGGCACCATTCCACAATGCCTAAATAGTTTTACTTCCATGGTTCAAAATGGAAATTTAAGTACAATGATTCAGCAGAATTATGTACATGGTGATCCTCAGTTTGGAGATATAGGACCCTATATTGACAAAGCATTGCTTGTTTGGAAAGGAAGGGAGTACGAGTATACAAAAAATCTCGGATTGTTAATAGTCATTGATCTCTCAAGTAATGAATTGCCAGGAGAGATTCCTGGAGAAATAACGAGTCTTTCAGGTTTGGTGGCATTGAACATATCTAGGAACATCTTGACTGGTATAATCCCTGAAAAGATTGGCCAATTGAGACAGTTAGAAGTGCTAGATTTTTCCAGAAACCGACTTTCAGGCGAAATTCCAACTAGCATGGAAGAGTTGACATTTCTGAGTCACTTGGACCTGTCTTACAATAATTTGTCAGGGTAAATTCCATTGAGCACTCAATTACAAAACTTTGATGCCTCAGCATTTTCCAATAACCTAGCACTATGTGGACCTCCAGTTTCGTCAAGTTGCTCAGCGGCTGGAACACCTCAAAACATTAATCAAGAAGATGAAGATGAAGATGCATTTAGAAATTGGTTTTTAGCTGGTATGGGAGTTGGATTTGCAGTAAGTTTTTGGGAACTCTGTGGTGCTTTACCGTTGAAGCATTCTTGGAGACATGCGTACTTCCATTTCTTGGACAAGTTGATGGGTTGGCTTAACCTTAGCTTTCGAGCGCAACAGGCAAAATAGAAGAGGAATAATCAGATCCAGGAGCTACCTAACACTTTTTCAATAATGTCTGCGAGGTAAAAAAATGTTCATGAAAATCCTTTTCTTTGGTGTTCTTTTCGTGTTCTCTCCTCAGATGCACGTCTGAGCAGAAAATATTTTAAAGTCTATTGTTTTGCTTTGACATGCCTTTACACAAGGACCTACAATGATACCGGTGTATTCATTCTTCTGTTTTCCGGTGTTGTTAGATGCTTTTTCATGTTTAAGATTGGAGCGAGGTGTGCATGACAATGTACAAACAACAAAATCCAATTGAATTTAATCGAGTCTAATTCTTTGTTATTAGATTAATATTAAGTGATTTGGCTTCATTACTCTCTTCATGATTTCTGAAATATCTCCCAGGTATTTTAAAAATTGAAAGAATTCTCTGTAGTCACTCTCTGGCAATCAGATCAGTTAAACAAATATTGTCGGATATCGTTTTCCAAAGAGAGAGGAGAAAAGAAAGACAGTAAACGAAAGGAAGTCTTGACCGCAACTGCATGTAACCATTGATGATGTTACAGCGTCCGCTTCCTTGCAAGTTCATCCTTTCTTTGGCTTTCCTTGCAGTTTGCAAACACTTGATAGTTAATTATCATCCAAGAATTCTTCACATATATGGGTAAAAATATTCTTGGAATACTTTAAAGCATACAGGATAAAATTATCGACTTCCACTTTTGATACAGTTGACATTTATTGATAAATAGCATTCCATGAACCTTAAAAGATGCTACTATGCAGTGGCCTTTGTCTCTGTGCGTAAGAGAGAGAGAGAGAGCAAACTTTACAACGAATGACAAATACATTATGGTACAAACAATTCAATGAATTACATCACTCCTGATATCATCTCTTCCAAACGTTGACATGCTCAAACATGCACGCAAATATGGAAACAGTCTTGTCGACTCTAGCTCTATTAGGCTTCACTTCATTTACCTGAAACTGGCAAACCATTGAGGCATTGAGACGGCAAATCATAAAACTGTCTTCACGATATGGAAGTTACTCGAACCGAGTTATCAGCTGATCCAGTCAAGAAAATGGGCAAGGTTGGATGCCAATCTACGGTTGTTATAGCTGCACTGTGCGGAAGAGTTCTCAACCCCTTTGAATGGCCTTGTACCTGATCCATGAAAAAAATGAGAAAAATTATTGAAGGATTGCCACTGTTAAGGAACTAAAGAATCAATATGTCAGAATCACCGAAACGATCAGTCTTGTCACATGATAATGATTGGGTCATCAAACAGGACCATTACCTCCACAATTAAACAATAATTGTCCAATGACACGGACAAATTAAATTTATGTAAGGGTATGCTCATATTAGGGGGTTGGTATACAAGCGAAATTATGTGTGCCCACACGTGTCAAGGATTCACCTGATATATGGGTGCCCTTACAGAACCAGATGTTACTAATAGCTGCCTCCCATTAGCATCCAAAGCCATTTCATGTCTATAATAATTTGATGTCTCAAGGTCAGAAAACCTACAAAGTGTAATAAACCCATGTTACTAAATTCTGCTCCATTAACTCATGCAAACAGATTGAAGATGCGACCATAACCAATGAATTCAATGAAGATATCAAGGCAATAAAAATGTGGAATGCACAAACCAAAAGGAATTCTGGCAATTTCAACTCCTTTATTTTTCCTTTTATAATTTTTTTCCTTTTCTTCTCATTCTGTGCCTAACAGGTAGGATGAGGAGACCATTGCCTGGCACCTCCCTTTACATGACTATAAGAGTCTAACTGCTGACGAAGAAACATAAAGAAGAGACTAAACAAATAATCTAGAAGAATAGGCCTTTGCTTAGGTGGCCACTGTAGGGGATGCAAATGATCTGTTAAGGTGTTTCAGTCACTAAAAACAGAAATTACCTGCTAGAAGTTTTTGACCAAAGGACACGACCTTGGTTTTGCAAGCTCCATTCAAATATCTGGCATTGCAAAATCAATCTGTGAGAGTCTGCGAATCTAGCTTAAACATAAAACCATAGATTGATCAGAGATTCTAGCTTAGATTGCACACATTTGATGCTCTAAAATTAACAGAGGACTAAAACACTTACCCTTCCATCTGAGCCCAAGCTAAAAATGCTCGTCTCATCTGGCCCAAAAAGAAGTGAGCTTATTGCAGAGTCATGTGCAGGCCACCCAGTGATTTGTAGACCAGCAGACATGTCTTTGATAAGTCAAGGTGCATGCATATTACAGTCTTGGTACAAATGAAAAAATGCATAAAGGTGGGTATTCTTCTCCTTTCTTACTGATTTGTGGGCCCTTCAGCTAAAGGGCTAACCAGGAAATCAGGAAACAGGAATGACACAATAAACCGAGGCAGTTTTCTTAGAAAGAACAATAAAGTGAGGCAGTTTTCTTAGAAAGGTATTGTAGTCCTTGTAATGGGTAAAAAACTTGCGTGTTTAGTTAATATTAAAATCATGATCACTTAACTGAAAATAACACAGATACACAAAAATATGAGGCCATAAAGAAAAGGATACCAAACATATGAATCATTCCATCAGTCGCAGAAGCAGCTAAAATCTTCCCATTGTGATTGAAGCATAGGGAAGTAATTGCAGGTGGGTCTTCACCAAGAGGAAGGACTGTCTTCATTAAAGTTGAAGTCCATTAAGGCATAGATTATTTTTAAGACAACCTAATCATCATTAATAAGAAGTCTCTTTATATACAGCCACATACCATAGCTTTCCATGTTTTCATGTTCCATACAGTCAATGAAGCATACCCCAAAGATTCCATAGAATTTGAACCAAGCCTGAAAGGAGAATGACATCCAACTAATCTCATGCTCCCAAAATTTTTATGAAGAAGGGGAGAGCAAAAACACAACTATGATAATGTGCAATCAATCTTCCAATGCATTCTAAATAGTGGCTACCCAACATAATAAAATGATTTAACAACCTACCATAACTGATTGAAAACACCAAAAGAATGTGTGAATCACTGAGTTATTGACAAATAAAATGAACCACGTTATCAATGCCTATTTTTAGAAACACGAGGCTCTGCAATGATGATCTATACAGTATCTCTACTTGCAGGTCTTCTGATGCATTATATTAGATTTATATAAATTCCCCAGATAAATTCATTTTGAGTACATTCCAGAATATTTGAGCCTATGTTTCACATCTCAGTTATGCACTCATTTTCAACTGCATAGCCTGCAAGCAGGAACTAGATATTGGAAATTGTGGTACAACACATTTCAACCATAAGTTGCATTCAACTAATTCTAAATATTCCAGCCATCTTAAGGTTTGAAAAAGCCCATTAGCAAAAGAATCAGTCAATATAAGATTATCACATGTTCAATAATAATATCAACATAGATAGCTAATCAGTAGCAAGTGAATTAAAAAAATCACACAGGCTTAACCCAAGAGAAGTAACAACCTAACACCGTAACTAAATCAACCACTAGCACTATTGAGTTCCAATTCACTAACTACTATAAGCTCATCAGCAGTGTAGCTTTGCATGTTTCAGTCATGTAAGAAGGCCAATACATGGGACAATCTTCACTAAAGAACAGAATCTAGAACATAGGCAGTTTAATGTGAAACTATAAATAAAGAAGATACCTTTGTGATGAAGCTGCAGAAACAAATATTGGTTCCACAGGGCTGCACTTTAAATCCAAGACACTGCAGGATGGAAAAATAAAATAAATAGCAAGTATAAACAAATTAATAAACCACTAAACATGGTATTCTAAGTAAGTACCTTGGAAATGCTTCAGTTGTATTCAGATCACAGACAACTCTCTTTGCATCAACATTCCATGCTTTAATGCCTCCATCAGCAGTGCCAATGAGAAGCTTTAGGAACAACAAAATTTAAAAGCAGGAATTTTTAAACTGCAACGATTGTGAAAACACCCCACTCAAACTAAATGTACAATCATTCAAGAATAATCTTGTTACATACCAAACGGTCAGATTTGCATTCCCAGTCAAGTGACATAATCTCAGCACCGCAATATATGGTTGCATTTCTAGATGCCGGAATTGATGAGTCATATGTCCATATCCTTCACCAAAAACAAAGAGAAAAGAAAGTAAACTGAAAGTCAGCAGACAATGACTTCTGAACACAATCATAAGTGTTATTGTCTTCTCAAGTGCATTCTAACCAAGGTATCTGACAGTCAATTTGTTAAAAGCCATGGCCAAAACTCAGCAGTAACCCATCTAAACTGTATTTGTCAGTAGTCAGATTATCAGGATGACCATTTTTCCCTTTTTTCCCCCTCCTTTTCTGATATTTAATGACCATTAACTATTGGGCAGGATAGACAAATTTAAAAACCTGCATGTAAGGAATGCCCAATAGAAGCAGCCGAAGGAAGCAAATTGCTCTATTGTACATATTTACAAGTTTATATCAGTTGCTTTTAAAGAGCATACCTGACAGTGCCATCCACAGATGCACTAGCTATGTTGTTCCCAGATGCAGAAAACCGGCAACGAGTAATTGGACTAGTGTGGCCCAAAAATGTTTCCTGGAAGCCAAGTAATTCTGGCAGCTTGACAAATACAATAAAACGAACAAGAAATCAAGGTGTTGTTTGAATATATCTTAATAGAGAATTTACCTGGAACTCTATGCTGACTTCAGGAAATTCTTCTTCTCCGAGCACTTCTCTTCCATTCTCTGTCAAATTACATTCAGTAATTACCTAAACCGTTAAAAGCAGAAGAAAATGAAACATTTAAATAAACCTACTGCCTTGCATCCAACCACGTTGGAAAAAAATGACAAATAAATGGTTCCCCTCTATATTTTCAGCTCAAAGCTACTTATTCAAAACCATATTTATTGACGGTATACTTTCAAAATCTTTTGCAATATGGTCATGGAGCTGCCATATTAGCCTCAAATCTAAGATGGGCAAGCTATGCAGAGAAATGTCAGTTACCAATAATGCTACCGTAGAAACCTTGAGCAGCATCATCAATTCCACTGTATGAAGCATGAAGACTTAAAGCAGAATATGAATCATGCCCAGATGAGGACTTGACATGCCCTGATATGATTTTAACAGGTTCAGCGGTAGCACATTCCTCACTCTGCTCTCTTCTACCCAAATGTGAGGTTGCAAGAGAACATATTTCTTCACTACTTGCAGATAGATGTAAATTTTCATCCTCGACGCCACTTGATGTAGCCGAACTATTAGTTGCTCTCAAGCTCCTATTATGCAGCAATACCGGTATCATAATGTGTTCAAATAGCATCATCTTTAATCATAACATGAAGCAAATACCACCATCATCTAGCAAAATCAGAAAATGCTTACCTTTTTGATTGACCTAATTGAGCCTCCTTATCCTCCAGTAAAGCCTGAAGTTGTGATAACTTGAGACTAAGATGCTTGTTGTCTCTCTTAAGACGGCTAATTGTATTCTTTTCCGAACTGATCTTCAATAGGGCAGGAAGGCGTGGGTTGGTTAAGGACATTCTTCAAAATCCCATCATTAATTGAATCACTCTAATGTCAAGGAAAAAAGTTATATCTAATGCTGTGCTTGTACTTAATATCTACTAGTACCAAAAACGCGACCACAAAGGATATCTTTAGATGCAAAACCTTTTAAGACCAATTCATTTCGAGATGCAGAAAAGTTCCCTAATAAGTAACTCCTATGGACTCTCTGTTAATCTACACATAGTAACATACACAATTTATGTAGAGCATCTTCACAAAGAAAGCATCAATTCCAAAGGATATGAGTACCATTGAAGACCTCGCTGAAAAAGTTCCTCACAGAAAGACGGAGAGCTTCATACCATTCCTTGGAGAAGTAAACACGAAACTGAGGATCCATGTTTGGGTTCTTTAAATAAGGAATGGCTGCATAGCATGCTCAATAAAATCAGTCAACAAGAAAACAAGAGAAAACATACAAAATAAAAAAAGCCAAAACAAATGAACCCACCAAACCAAGGTGTCCAATCATAACTCTTTAGAAGCAAATCATTTCCATTCATTCCAAAAAATTCCACAACCTTATCTTTCCTCCCAGATTGCAATGCATGAACAATGTAACACCGAAGAACGGAGCCCTCCAATTTCAACAAGGTATCAAGCATCGTAGTCTCAGACCAGGAGGAAAAGCACTGCTTAAAGAAACTGAATAGACCAGCTAACTTTTCGGCCTGAAATTTAGGAATATACACCGCGAAAATTAAGTCTAATATCTTATTAACTTGAAACCCTTTACCAATATCAGTACACAACTCCGTCTCAAAAGCTTGTAATGTATTTGTAAATCCTCTGAAGATCAAAAATTCCCTCACAAGCTCTTCAGCATATTGCATATTCTCCATCTTATATTATCTGAAGAAATAAAGATAATCTTTAGCCTTAATTACTTGGTAAATCCATGGATCAACCAATAGTAATCAAATTATCATACAAAAATTACGAAAAGTGAAATTTACCCCAAGAATGAATATGAAGGATTCCAAATTCATTATCTAGGGTTTGATTTTATTATCATTCAAGATTCTAGATATGGTTAAATTGGGGATAGTTGATGGAATTTGTACCTTATAGAATTGCCGAGAAGTCGAACGTCGAAGGGGAAGGAAACGTAAGGATTGGGCCTTGAATTTTGAATATTTGTTGAAGAAAGAAAGGGATCTTTCGATTCTTCTACGGGTTTTGATGAGGGGTTTTGCTGGCGCTTACTTTTTTCTTTGTTATGCGCTTTTTCCTTTTTTGTCAAATTGCGTCGCTAACGGACACCGTAAGCCTGACTCAAGTTAGGGTACTGCTAGCATATTCACCGAATTAGATTTAGTTATTGCTAATTTCTTTATTTTCCAATTAAATTATGCCACGTCACCGTAACGACCGTTTCGTTTGATGGTTTTTCCCCAGTTTCCGTAGAGTTAAGAGATTTTTTTCGGATTAAACAATACTAATAATGACATCCTGTGCCGTTGTCTGTACTCTTTTGTACAACTTTTTTTTTTTACACAAACTTTATGCTTATTATTTTTTAAAAGAAAAAATAACGGGCTGTCGGTGCCAAATGCCCAAAAGGGTATATCACATATATTTGTGCATCAATCGCCCAAAATCAGAGATTTTTTTTTTTTTTTTATAAAATACTATTTGGATAGGGGAGAAGTTACCTCTCGAAAATCAAGCTATGCCTCAGCAAAAAAATCTTCAATAAATTAAACTTATAAGTTCACAACTCCCAATTAGGAAGAAAGAAAGCTAACAAAGTAAACATGAAAACTTAGCTTGGTAAAATTATTTTCACAATTTATTATCCAAAATAAATAAAAATATATAATTGTATTATGAGAAAAGCTATTTTTGACTGAAACTATTCATCTACTCGCAGACAAAACCACATAGGTATAATATATTTCAAAAAAATATAGGTGCAATAAATATGGTAGTAATTTTATGAACATTTATTTTTTTGATAAAAAAATTAAATTTTAAAATAAAAAATTCATACTTTTAAGAAGGGAAACATACACCTGTCATTAACTTAAACGCTTAGGTAGTTTTTGTGTTACAATCAAACTTTTAATTTTGATGCTATTGTATTAGTTAAAGATATAGTCTATGCGGGTACATTGGTGGTTTGAAAATTTGGGTACAAAAGAATCATTGTTGAATCAGATCCGTTGCTAGTTGTAAAGAAGCTATCACCGCCATCAAATGACAAGGATCCATATCATCCATGAGTGCCAAGGATTGATCAAGCTTGGCTGGATTTGATCTCCTAAGCATTTGTATTGGGAAGCAAATTTTTGCTTTTTTTTTTTTTAACTGGTATGGCTCAAGGTGCCGGATTTGGGAAGCAACATTTTCATTCTTTTCCAGTTGATTTACTTAATTTTTTACAACATGATATCATAAAACTTTCAAAATCAAGAGGTCCGTGATTTTTTTTTTATAAGATCACAAGTAGAGGCCAAGCATTCAAGCTGAAATTGGCTAAACCAATCCAAAATCTTGTTTGCAAAGAAAAGGGACTTACGTGTGAATAACACCATAACTGCAAAAACATTCAGTGCTAATCTTACATGGTTATACAAACTTTGCGCTTTAATAGTTGAACCTCATTTTACAGACCTTTAATTTGTTGCCATCACGATTCTCCGATCTGTATTTTTTGGCTTTCAGCCTCATGTATTTGCTTATTCACAGTTTCCTGCTCTATGAAATTTAAGCCTAGCTGATATTGAACCCGGTAAGAATTTGTCACGGTATTCAAGTAAGCCAAGAAGTAGATCAAAGATGATAACAGGGAGAGAGTGAAGGGTACCCACCAATTTTGGCATTGGCTGGATGAAGCTTGATTGGTGATTGAGATGATAACTATGCCTTGGAAAATAAGGTAACCAACGGTTAAGTGCTGTGCATTCTTCTCATACAACTTGATTCGTTTCTCTTGTTTCTCTGCTATAAGGCCCAACTCCTTGAGGATTCTGGTAAGCTCTTCTAGTTCAGCCATGATAAATAGTATCAGTGCTTGCTTACAATGGTGATGCACTGCGACTTATATAGATGCAGAAGTGAGAAAAACGACTCACCCTAAAAAAGAACTTTTGGGTGGAGAATGGAAATTGTAGCTGTTCGCGTTTTCTTCAATTTCCTTGTTCCTTCCAATGCAATTCCTGGAAAATGGATTTTTTAAGGGACCCGTGACTTTTTTTGCATTAATTATTGGCCGTCAATAAAATAAACTTTTTAATAGTATACCGTTACTCCAGCTTTGGAAAGCTTTTCTTTTTTTTTTTTTAGATTTGAACCTCGGGAATTAAAATTTTGACACTGTAACAACGTACCACATCAACTGTTGGAAAAAAGCTATTTTGACTTTGCATTTCTGGCCAGAATTTAAAAAACCTTTTAATTGTCATCAATAATTATTTCTTCATGCTTTGTCGTTTGAGGAAGCCGCGTGAGTTTTGTTGAAGCATCTATTTAACACGGACTTTAGACTACAGAGGTTGACGCTTCCATAGTGATGTTTTCCAAGAGTGCTTTCCTCGACCCGCGTTGAAAGACCTTAAGTTTCCAGGCAAAAAAGACGAAGACTTAAAAAGAAGTCGTATTAGCAATCTTCTTGATTTTCCTCGACAACTTTCATATGCAAGCTGGAATTGTATGTGGTAAGCGAACTGGAATTGCATATGGTAAGCGGAATGTGATTATCAATAAGCAAAAAATATATGAAGTGGAGTTGCTGTTGGTAAAGTGCTCAACTATTGGTTGCAGTGGTCACAGTTCTGTCCTTGACAATTTTAAATAAAAAAGCCCTATTTTAGGTACATGTGGACCTTTCATGCCTTTGTTGAAGCAACTATTTAGAGTTTCTCCATTAACTTGCTTTTGTTAAATGGTTGTAATTCCTCCGACTCTATGCACATGTTCTACTCCATTGTGACTACAACAAATTTGGCCATTGTGACACATAAAATAATATCATTAAATATTAATTTTTTATCATCATAAATTTTTCATGACAAAGACTCCAATGTCATAATATTTATCACATTTATATCATCACTAAAGATGAAATATAACGATATCAAAATATCGTCGCTTATGTGAATATAAGGTTACAATAATATCAGATCTCACCTTATTCTTTAGTTTTTTATAACAAGAGATTTCATCAATTATTTGTGAAAAAATCGTTATTACATAACCGTCACAAAATAAGTGATAAATTTTCATATATTAATGATAAAAAGTAAATGTCACATTGTTGGTGATACAATTATCATCACCTATTATCGAAGATAATATCATAAAAAATTTCATAATATCACTAAAAATACATAAAAAGTTAAATTTAGATGACAATATGTTATATTTGTGTCAATTAAATTCATCACTAAATACAAATTTATTTTTGTCACTAAGATAAATATCATTGGTTGAATATAACGATATCATAATCATTATGGAAAAAAAAGTGTTGAGTGACAAATTAACCATTTTAATGTCGAAAAAAATTTCTTTTATAATGGTGACAAAATATTGAATGTTGCAAATCATCACAGTCATTTTTCTAGAATAATCCAATATAAATAATAGTGTTCTTGTAAAATCATGTATGAATAAGAAGAAATGATAAAAAAAAATTAACTAAATATTTACATTGATTTTTAAATGTAATAAATTTTCTAAAGTCAACCATAAAATCATACAAAAATAATATTATTTAAAAAATAAAGAGTATTACAACTATGAAATAGTTAATGATCAAAATCTTATCTTGAAACTCTCAATCTAATTCTTGTGTCGAGGGTGATTGTGTTGATAATGAGTTTGTGTCATTTAAAACTACAATAAATAATTAATAAGAAATATCAAAACAAATCATAATACACATAATAAGATAACAACAAATATAAAAACAAACTAATATATTTCATGCATACCAATTTTTTAAATGAGGTCCTACCCTATATATTAAAGAATAGGCCTTGCCATAAATGAATATCAATTAAAACACAAAAGCACCTAAAAAATATAGGCTAACGAAATGCCATAAGCATTTGCTAAAAACATAATTTGAACTAGGCGGAGAGATTTCTAGACTATTCCAACAATGCTTTTAGATTGCATAAATTCGAAAAAGATGCTACAATTCAATATTTCTTTTTAAAAAAAAAATAAGAATGAAGCAAATCATGAAAATCTTGCCTATACCCTAAGAACAAACTACTTAGAATAATAGATAAAAGATTAGAATCTATTTGCTATATGAATTTTATGATACAATTTATCCCATAAAACAAAAACGTATAATGCAAGTCATAACAAAATCAAAGTTTAAAAAGCTTGGCAATTTTCTGTCCAGGTAAGACAGAGCATATACTTTGCGCTTTTCTAATGTAATTTAACTCTACTTTTAAAACATCATAGCAACATTGCTTTAACTTTACTTTTAAAACATCATAGTAACATTGCAAAAAATAACAATATCAATTTCAAATGACATGGTGCAACTCATATAAATGAAAAACTGGAACACAGATGCAACACCAATAGATTATGAGCACATAGATAATGACGTATTCAAGTATATACCTAGAAATTGATAGATAGGCATTTAGATTCCAGCAACTAATAAAGCATTTGTTATACTTCAATTTAAACTTTAAAAAAACCCAAAAGTTGACTTATATTGCTAAAGTTCTTCTTATGTCTTTTTAAGACTTTCTTCTAACTTAGTAGCACTTGCAAATAAGGTTTTAGTAGTAGGTTAAGGCTTGTATTCAAGTCTTTTATGTATCCTGACCTAGTACTAAGCACTTCATTTTCTATAGCATCAATAGGTTTAGGTTCTGTTCTCTCTTTAGTAGGAATTGATTGTAACTCCACCATTTTCTCCTAGCATTTAACAAAAATATTATTACCTTAAAAATCATATTACAACAATAAAATTATAACTCTTAATTTGAAATTTCTTACATAGGTTGCTTAAGCTCATAACCATCATTTATTCTTTGAGTAGTGAGTTACCTTAAAAAATTCAATCTTATTAGGTTTTTAGTTGTCCTTACGCCACAAATTGTAAATACAATAAAAATGTTTGTTACTAGAAAAGTATTCAAATAGAAAAAATAGTGTTTAACAATTTTTGGAACTTAAAAATTTACCATAACATAACAACTAGCCACAAAAGCCCTCGATCCTTGGTTATGAGTTGACATTTTTTCTGACTCTTGCATTTGTCTCACACATTCTCTTCATTTCAAAAAGAATTAAATAATATAAATATTTTGATGTTGTAAATTATTAAAAGAATATATTATTCATGATTAATAAACAAATATGAAATTGATATGTGAATAAGAAAATAACTTGATATTCAAGATTACTAAACAAATCACAAAACCTTTTTCAATTTTCTTGAGTCAAGTTATACTTCATAGGGTTGTTTTGGCATGCCATTTCAGTGTTTGAAAATTTTTTAAAGTGCAAGTGGAGCATTATCGTTGGTTTCTTGACAATTTCAATAAAATTGACAAAACATATGCCTTAACATAGTCATCATTCAATATAATCTAAAACTGTGTCTAAAACAGAAAATGAATTAATTGATATATTCAAAGAACATAAATTCAAAATTAACCGATAATAAGTTTTGTAATAATATTTTGCATTTATATTAAGTCTCTCAAAGGCATGCAACTTGTCTATATCATTAAAAGCTTTTCATTTATTGGGATCGAGATGAATTGTTGAGTAATTACTCCAACTTCGAAAGATAATTTAGCTAATTGAACTTTATAAACAGGTTAACCCTTAGTTGATGGTATGTTTATTACTCGTTTATTTTTTCCTTTGGTGAGTTTTTCTAGTCCCATCTCTTGAGTTGAGCCTCGTACCCTTTTAGAGGGGATAGAAGCTACATCTACAAAAGTAATACATTAAACTAGCATGATGAATTGAAGTTTTTATTTTTAAAAATGGTATTATGAATTGGTTTTACTAGTTATTTAGTTTGATTCGGTATACTAGTTAGATAATGAACAGAATTGAAATGAAACAAAAATGTAACAGCCTTAAAAGAACTATAATAAAAGGCGGTTGATCTATATTACTTAGTACCTAAATGTCCTAACCAAAAAAGTTGTAACAAATTAACTCTCCACCTTTATTTTCCAATGACAAAGAATTGTCCAATGGATAAATCTTAATTCAACTTCTAAGAAATAGCAAGATATATGTACTAGGTATATAGCAAGTTCAATGAATAAAAAACCCAATTTTTAAGCTTAAACCAATCAAAGAAAAAAAACCCATATTAGCAATAAAGATACATATAAAAACTGAAATTAATATTAAGAGTTTATACCTTCAAAAAACTATTGACCAAAATAAATAATGAGGTTTCAAAAAAGAGTAATTTTTGAGTCTTTC